ATCTGCTGCATCGCCATGTAGGGCTGTTTGTACGATCCTTATTTGACCGTGGTCATTAAGTATTTCACGACCATATTCTTCCATGTAATTTAGTACTTGAGTTCGGGAAAAATCCCAGTCGGTGTGGCTCTCCGCAGTACCTTACTCCTAACAGTGGGAACTTTTGGATGGATCGGTGTCCCCTCTGCCTCCTGGATCGGTGGCTATCTCCATCAGCTGGGACGGCTCACCAAGGGGTGGCTGCGGCTGTGGCAATGGCTGCTGCCTCCGTGGTGCTGGTGGAAGGGCCAGGGAATGCTGGTTCAGCCCCCCCTTCACCCATCCCTTGGGCTGAGCCTGGGTTGACAGTGCCTCAGCATGGGTTGGCTTTCTCCTCCTTCATGGAATCGAAGGCAATCCTCAGAATGTCGATGGATTGCTCCAGGAATTGGTTGGAATAGGGCGGCCAGTCATCACTGAAGCAAAGCAACCTCTCCATCTTGACTTTCCAACCTGACTGATGACTACTGTGTTTGGGTGGTCATCTTCCTGGATTTCTTCTCCCAGTCCTCCTTCTTCCTGACACCCATTGACCACCTTGGTTTGAGGCAGTGTTCAGCAACTACCACTCATCCGATGAGCTTGAGGATTGAGTATTGGCTGGGCTCTGCCTGGTGGAAGAACTGCCCCCCCCATGGCAGGTTCTTTCCTTTCTGTTCCAATATCAGACATTGTTTGCTTAGCCCCCCCGGCAAAGGTCTTCCTTCCAGGTTGACCATTACTGCAGATTCTGCCTAAGGTCAGGGCCCACTTCAAAACCTCATCCCAAGAAAGCAGGACCCTTGGAACCATTTCATTCCAAAAGGAATTTTTATTAGGAGGAATATATCATAAATTAATATATTGACTATGGAATTATAGAAATTAATTATTACTGATTGGTTTTTAAACATATGAACCCAGACAGCACATTGTTTACCAAGTATTTAAGAATGTTATTGTAAAAAATTAATGAAATATATTTTTTAAAAAAACAAAAGTGACTACACAAGCTTTTCTGGTGCAGGTTTCACTTAGAACATTAAAAAACAATCATCCAGTTAGCATGTACAGGTGAGCATTTTCTTCAAGTTTCTTCAGGAAAAGTAGAAATTCTATCATAATTTCTTCTATCTCAAGGCAGTTATTTTCTTTACTAAAACTAATTCTGGTTCATCAAATTGAATAAGAGCTGTAGAAAGAGAAAAGGCAAGAAAATTTCTCTTTCAGGTATTGTGCGAATTTTGCTGATATTTGTTACACCCTCCATAATGAATGATATATTTAGGAAGATATTACTTTCCTTTTATTTACTTTATTGATCAGCTTTTATTCATTTTCAAAAAATACAAAGTTCAAAGATAAATAGAAATAGAAAATTAGAAAACAAAAAAATAGAAAAAGCAAAAAACAGGAAAGAATAAAAATAAAAGTGCAGAGAACGAAAAAGAAGAAAAAAATAAGAAAAATAAATGTTTCTGATTATCTTTGGTACAGAAATAAATATAAGAGTACCTCAAACTCTTGCTCTAAGGCTAACATTTTGATAATCCCATACAACTGTAATAATCAACCCCCAAAACCAATTTTTAATTTATTTCTAGAAAAAAAATCCAAGTAGAAATAAAATTTCCCCAAATCTTTCATCAATCTGTTTATTTTGTCATACCTGTAGCTTCACCATATATAGTGGGTATTTCTAAATCCTTCTATCTTTAAGCACATTTATTGTATGATAAAGTCAAGGCAAATGTGTACTTTTAAAATAATTTTATTAAATGTATTAGATTTATTGGAGTAAATATAAGGAAAAACTGTCTCCTAAAATCCCTATATGGTTGTCATCCCATGAAGCCTTTTTTAGAAAGGAAATATAATTAAACAAAAATGGTTAACCTATGCTGATTTGTTGAATTTTTCTCAAGGAATTTTTAACTTAAAAAAACAAGAGAAAACTTGTAGGTTTTGTATGCTATTGGTTTCCCTATTCTCAGCTAATGGAAAGATTTAAGTTGGAAAAGAACAATTATGAATTTGAAAAGGTAAAATAAATTTAATGTAGAGTTCTGTACAAATTATGATTATGTTATTGCTAAGATGTATATACTTTTATTGAAAAAGTAAATAGAGCATGAATAAGTTTAAGATTCTCTGACAAAATGGACAAAAATTATATAGTATAAAAGTAGGAGGAACATGTAAAAAGAAAAGGTTGAAATTTACACTGAATTATAATTTTAAGGAGAACTTTGATAAAAAGTTGTATTGCTGATATACAACACCAATTAAACTGTCAACATAGTATAAAGCAATTTCAAATATTTGTTGGAAATGTAACCAAACTAGGAGAATATTTTTCATATTTGGTGGGCATGAAATAAAGTTAGAAAATATGGGAATCAAGTATGTATTTTGATACAGAAAATTTAAAAATTGAATGAAACTATAAATTTTTCCTTTAGTTTTAATGGACAAACAAATGGAAAAATTGTATGAAATTGTTTTTATATAGGAAGGTGACATTACTCTTCTGTGTGATTTTTTAATTTGTTTTGATCCCAAAAGATTTAATCTTGATTGTTATTCTCCTGAAATTTGCCAAATACATGGATGGTGATTAAAGTAAATAAGTTCCAGTTTATCGCTTGTGAGGCAAATGGTCATGATAGCTCAGCAAACAAGGAATAATAATAATAATAATAATAATAATAATAATAATAATAATAATAATAATAATGTTGGAAGGGACCTTGGAGGTCATCTAGTCCTACTCCCCCTGTTACAAACTGTATTTATAACATTTTTTTAATGTTTCCTTAAAGGTTTTTCTCACTGAATGCCTCTTTTTTTGGAATTACCCATGAAATCTCAAGGCTATTTACTGGAGATACATTCAAGATCAAAAATAGGATTCTATATATGCTTTCCAGATATGATCAATTGAGTGTATGGACAACTACTGTTCCCCTTCCATAACACAGAATCTCTTTTAGTTGCATTGACTAATTTAATGAAGAGAAGGACTAGAGCTGACATGATAGCAGTGTTCTAATATCTCAGGGAGTCAAACTATTCTCCAAGCACCTGAAGGCAGGACAAGAAGTGATGGATGGAAACTGATCAAAGAGAGAAGCAACCTAGAACTAAGGAGAAATTTCCTGACAATTAAACAATATCAGTAGAACAACCTGCCTCCAGAAGTGAATGCTCCAACACTGGAAATTTTTAAAAAGAGTTTGGCAACCAATTGTCTGAAAGAATAGGGTTTCCTGCCTGAGCAGGGGGTTGGACTAGAAGACCTCAAAGGTCACTTCCAACTCTATTATTGTTATTGTTAGTGTTATACCATTGGGTTACAATTAGGAGATGCATTCATGTTTCTGAAAACCAGAGACTAGGTAAAGACCTAGATCAGGGCATCTGGCAGGAGGAAATTATGAAAAAAATTGTGTTGTGATTAAAGCTCTGCTTATTTTATGCCATATACACATAAATATTAGTACAGTTTTCACATGATATATAATGAAGATTATATTATTGCTCTTTAGGTCTGTATTACCCATGTTTCCCCAAAAGTTAAGACCCGATCTTATATTATTTTTGCCTCCAAAAGAGGAATTAGGTCTTAATTTTGGGGGTGTCTTATATTTTTCGTGACACCTGCCTTGCCTTGTGGCGGCAGCACCAACAACCCCATCCAGCAGCCTGCTTGGCTGCTGGCCCACTTCTGCTGTGGCCGCTTGCAGCAGAAGGTCATGCGGCACATTGCAGTGCTGCTGCCACAACGAGGCAAGGCAGGTGGGGGAGGAGGTGGAGCTGCCCCACACACCTCACACCCACTTACCAGTACTTCAGCCCCCCCTCCCCCCCAGCCAGGCCATTCCTTGATCAGCAACCTTTCATTTCCCTCCCGAGCCGGACTGTCATGCTATGGTGGATGAGATGGGTGATTTAGGCCTGGTCCCCCTCCATCATTTTGGAGCCAGGGGGAGTGATGGTGAATGGCTCTGCTGCCGCTGTGTGCCACTGGAGGGCTTTTTTAAAAGCTTCACCCCACAGATCACCTGTCAGGGCGCAGCCGCCACCTTCTTGTCATATAATGGAACAGGCTCTCATGGATCAGAATTTTCCTAATGAATTTTCTTCTTCTTCCTAACATACAAAGGGTTTGAACATTCTAGTTAATGTTTCAGACAAGGATTTATAGCCGAGTTTCTGTGTTTCTGAAAATAGCAAGCCCATTGGATTTGTGTTCCCATCTGAAACAATCTGACTTGTGTAGCCATAATTTGATTTGCAGAGTTTCCAAAATAACTGTACATATTATTATCCTACTACAAAGAGTGGGAAAGTTTTAAATAATTTTTTTTAAAAAAATGAGAGGGTTTTTATCATACTCAAATGTTATTAAATTTAACAATGCTTTAAATTTAAGTAATCCCATTCAAGGGGCTGAGGTGATGCCCTTGCACACCATTGTACTTCCAGGTATGTCAAGAGCAAGATATAAAGGAGAAACTTTAATCCTGAGCTAGGTTTACTGTGTGGTGTATAAAAATGAGACTGAAAACCTAATTGAAAATCTAAAACTAGAAAATGTGATCTTCTGTGACTGAAATCTCAAAAGGCCACATTGCTCTACCAATCTCTATCTTGCAGATTATACTTGCCAGCAAAAATGCATCCTATGAAATATGAGCCCTTGGTTGTTTCATAGTATTTTGATTGTAACCATAAGTTGCTCCCAGTTTTGCCTCCCAATGCAGCCATCTTGAAAGTATGTAGCAATCAGGACAATCAGGAATGCATTTTGGTGTAACCTACCAACTCTTTTCCTAGTGAGGCTCCAAAAAGTTCCAGTGGTAAAAAATGTGATTCTTATTTCAAAAAGTATCAATCAATGTGTGTTAAACTTTTAAAAAGCAAAACACATTTTTTTTATCATTTATTGTATAAAAGAGTTTATTTTTTCTTCTTTAAAGGCTAGGTTTCCATGGAACAAGTAGAGAAACTCTAAAGGTAATGTGGCTTTCTCAGGTTTTGGAGCATGCAGTGTCATTCTAGAAAATAGAAGTAGCAGCATTTTTTCTTTGTGTGTATGTGTGTGCATGTGAGTCAGTGTTGCTTCTTAGCAAGTGACTGGGCAAGCAGTTTTCTTGGCAAGATTTTGGAAGTGGTTTGCCATTGCTTTCTTCCTAGGGCTGAAAGAGAGAGTGGTCCAAGCTCACCAACTGTATTTATGCCTAAGATGTTTCCTGTAATATTTGAAAAATACATCTTACTTTAACTGCATTTTATCTTCTTCATTTCAATGGTACTTCCTCAGTAGAACATCCCAGATATGTAGTGTATCTTCTACCTTTGCCCCACGTTTCTTCGTGCCCTCTGATAGGACTGCTTGATTTTTACTTGATGCAAACTGGTTGTCTAATGGCCAAGGGCAGCTGGTTGGATCTTTCCTGTATAGTAGCTAATGAGTAAGAAATATTTTGAGAATGGTGGTGTGTTTGGAAAATAAAGTCTTTGAAAAAGTACATCCCTTCTATTCCTCCCAGCTAATGATAGTGGGTTATAAAAACCACCTTCCCCCACCTAAGCATCCAATAGATGTAGATTTCAATTCTAAGAATTATCCAGATAGCACAAGAATTGCTGAGGATTGTTGGGATTTATATTGTGTTTCCCCGAAAGTAAGACCTACCCCAAAAATAAACCCTACCTTAATTTTTGGGGTGTGCCTAATATAAGCCCTATCCCAAAAATAAGCTGTACTTTTGGGGCAAGGTGCATGCCTAAAAATCAAGGTAGGACAGGGGTGGGGGGTTGAGCTGCCCTATGCACCCTGCACCCACTTATCTTACCAGTAGGATCACCACAGCCAGGCCTCCCACGCCCTGACACCATATGGCTTGTCACGCCAGTGCCATGGCTGCACAGCACTTTGGGCCATTGCTACTGCTTGCGGCAGGAGGTCACATGGTGCTTCGCGCTGTTGCCACTCATGGCAGGAAGCCACGAAGCGCTTCAGGCCATTCTTACTACTTATGGTAGGCCGCATGGTACTTCCCGCCGTTGCTGTCACTTGTGGCAGGTGGCCTCATGGTGCTTCATGCCATTGCCACCACTCGCAGTAAGAAGCCGCATAGTGCTTTGAACTGTTTCTGCTGCTTGCAGCAGGAAGCAACATGATGCTTCAGGACATTCCGTTGCTCACGGCAGGACATCGTGCGGTGCTTTGGGCCATTGCAAGCAGCAGAAATGGCCCAAAGTGCCACACAGCTTCTTGCTGCAAGAGGCAACAATGGCATGAAGTACCATGTGGCCTCCTGACACGAGCTGTGGCAATGGCACAATGTGCCATGTGGCGTCCGGCTACAAGTGATGGCAAGCGGCTGCTGAAGAAGTATAGCAACAGCATGACAGGTGTCTGGGCATGGGAGGCCTGACTGTGGTGGTCCTAAGGTAAAACATCCCCTGAAAATAAGACCTCTTTTGGAGGCAAAAAAATATAAGATCAGGTCTTCTTTTCAGTGAAATATGAGTATAAACATCTGGAGGGCTCAGGGTACAGAAAGTTGATGCAAGTGCTCTCCATCTGTGAAAAACAGATTTCCAGGAATAGAAGATAGTTATTTCTCTGGAAGCAAAGATGCACAAGGTCCAGGTCCCTTTGTGAGATTTATAAAACAATGGCCTTTGTTAGGCTCCCTATTAGGACTAGGCAATAAATCACAGATCTCTGAACACCTAATGGTTTAACTCAGTGGTTCTCAACCGGTGGGTCGGGACCCCATTTGGGGTCAAATGACCATTTCACAGGGGTCACCAAACAAGGCTGTCCGGCATTTTTTTCCCCTTTTCTTTGGCCACACCCCTGGCACCCAGTGATGTATAAGTGGTTGGGGGTCACCACAACATGGGGAACTGTATTATGGGGTCGCGCCATTAGAAAGGTTGAGAACCACTGGTTTAACTCAATATTTTGGCTAGACTCAGCGTTAAAGACTTGTAAATACAGCTGAGGATGGAAAAAGTTTTCACTGCAGACAAGAATGCAGTCACACAAAACAGAGGTTCACTGCCTATGAAAGGGTACGCATGACTTGTAATACAGATACTGTAGTTTTCTGTTAACTACAGTAATGGGGTCTGGAATTTCTATCACTAAGTGATGTGATTGTAAAGAATGATGTCATGTGACCATGATACCTGGTGACGGCAGTTCTGGCAATCCCTGGTTACTGTTGTTAAGCAAGTACCACATGGTTTCTTTAAAAATACACTTCATGGTAAGCAAAGAACTTCCAACTTCCTCCTGGCTTCCCCATTGACTTTGCTTGTAGGAAGCTAGCAGGGAAGTTCAAAATTGTGATCAAGATATCAATGGTCAGAATTATAATTGCTCCAGTGCCTGAAATTTTGAGAAATATATATACACATATTGAATGCAATTAGTCTTTCTTCTGAGTAGGTGCATATTGGGCTGTACTACCAATAAACAGAATAATACAAATTTGCCAAAAAATCTTCATCTGTTTCTCTTCTTCCTTCAAAGAGATAAAGTGAGTACAGGTAGTCCTCAAGTTACAACTTTATCTGAGCCCAAAATTGTGGTTGCAAATTGTGCTAATCATTAAGTGGGTCACCATATGACTGCACCCTATTTTATGACCTTTTCTGCAGCAATTGTTAAGCAAACACTGTGGTCATTAAATGAATGGCACTATCATTAAGTATTGTAACTTCAAATCTGCATCACAAGTGTCCATTGTAATTTTGAATTGTCACTAAGTGACAGTCATAAATTGAGGACTACCTATAGGGGTACTTCTGAAATTAATTAGCACTTGAAGAAAGAGATGGTGTATAAACACATTCTTCTGATGTCCAAACCTTGCCCCATAGAAGAAATATTTCTGCAAGTATTTAAATTTAGTTGTGAGACATTTAATAAGTATTCCACCCATCTAATTCACACAAAGCAACATTCTAACCACTTAACCTCTTAAGCCTTTGCAGACATTGTAGGAGGAAAGCCATGGTAGTCTATGGTGGCAATAAATCAATGGGAGTCTGTAGCATCCTTTTTCCCAACTTACAAGATTTATTAAAAAGTATAAGCATTTGCGAGTGGCAATTCAGTTTATTGAATGCACTCTATGCATCTGATAAGCTCAAGAAAGCCTATAATAAACTTTGTTAGTCAGAAAAGGTGCTGTCAAACTCCTGGTTTTAAGTTCTTGTAGAAAAGGAAAGTTTTAGGAGAAATGAGTTCTGAGCACTCTAAAAACACACTGCAAAGACAATATTTATATTTCTTATCCTCCACCCTCATAAAATTAATAACCGAAGGAAATTAACTGCCATAGGTAACTTTTAATTTTTTCATGATCCTGATTTCAGGCTCACAAATATTGCTTGGTGGATGTGATATAGCTGGAAAATGAAAATTTATTTGCTCCTAATATTTTTTCTAAAATAAAAATTCCTGCAGGTGCTTCTTCAGGCATCCTTTGGTAATTTGAACACCCTTGCTGATGTTTCTGAAGAGGTGGTCCAAGGACGTGGGACAAAAGAGCTGATCATCACTACTTCCTATGTGAAGCTTTTGAATCACATCCTGAAACGTGTTACATACACTAGTACAAAATACCTACTAGATGTAGTGGACATGAGTAAGTTAGAATGTGTCCTACTAGACAAGTCCTTCACTGGGACTTCACTTTTGGATTTCACTTTTGACTTGATTTGCCCTAGATGTGAAGAAAGAAAATCATATATATTAGTTAACAGTGATTTTTTGTCCTCTAAAAACTTGTTCTCCCTTGGCAAAACTATTAGAAAGCCACATTATTTTGGAAATTTCAAAAATGATTGTTTGATCTTTCAAATTTGAAGCTTTGGAAGAAAATGTATTTTAAAAATTGAGAAGACAAACCGCATTCTTTTTCAGAAAGGATATTTGCAACTGAGGTATAGCATAAGACTTGTATTACCCTGAAATCAGGACAATGTTGATTGCTTTTGCAGTTATGCCCATGTTTTAATTTCAAAAGATTCCAGGCTCAGTTCCAGGTATTTCTTAAATGAACTGATACAATTCTATTGCCAGTCAGAATGGATGTTCCTCTGGCTTTATATCAAGTATCTTTCTTTAAAGATACATAAAGTTTAATAGCTATACATCTGTACATACAGTATGTCCATATAGTTTTATTGACTTATTTATTGTTTGACATAAAACAGCCTATCTAGGTCAGGGTTGGGCGAATCCATACAAAACGTACATAGCTATTTTACTTTTGAGCACTCTTCTTGTTCTAATATAGCACCTCCCCTTTTATATATTTATTGTCAGTTGTCTGGTCTGATATACTTTAAAGTACTATGTCCCATTTTGTTATGGATAATTTCTTATTTTGACTATTTTGAGGTTAAATGTGTTAACTTAAGGGCAAGATGAATGTCTATAATAAAAAAAATGTTTAAGCCACACAAAGGAGATTGAAGAATCTGCTCTACAACTCAACAGAAAGCACAAAGAATAAAAGAAGAAAATTGGTTTAAATTGCTTGGATGAAATGTAAACTACTGACCTCCATTGCATCTTTAGTTGTTTACTGGAGATTTTTCATCATGTATCCTTCCTCTAATGAAATCTAATCAAAGCAGAAGACGATCATTGATCTTTCTCAGTGATCAGTGGGACAATGTGGCTTGTGCCATTTCTGTTTTTTTAAGCACTACAGGAAGCCCATTTTGTTTGTTTGCATGTGTGTACATGCATATGAGTGTAACAGATTAATTTTGTATTGCTTTTATTAATTGTGGTGAGATGTATGAAAAACAGAATATAAAATTAGTCAGGGAGTTTTATTGCTCCAGATGTTTAAAAACTCCCATCAACTCTGATGAGGACTATCAATATTGGAAGATATTGATATCTCCTTCTCATATGTAATATATGGAGTGCAAGGGAAAGTTGACAAATATTTCCAAACATAGTCATAAAATTGACAACCAACTAACCATCTTTCTTTTAATTATTTCCTAGTGAACTTTACAGAGGGAACTTATCTTGTTAGATTTCCTGTGACCATTCAACAATTCCACCTTCCTAAACTAGTTGACTCAGGGCCAGGTGAGTGACATACATACAACTAACAAACCTGAGGGACCACCTTTTCTCCAGAGTTTCTGCCCATCCAACTAGATCAAACAGAATGGGCATGCTCCAGATCTCATCAGCAAAAGAATGTCAGCTGATGGGGACTAGAAGACAAGTTTTTTTCTACAGCAACTCCTGCTCTGTGGAACATCTTCCCTTCTGAAATGAGAACGGCCCCAACACTGCTACCCTTCTATAAAAGTTTAAAAACCTAGCTACGCTCTTGAGTCTGGGGCACTACATGCACCAAGGGCCCCACCTCCTGGCTATATTGTTAACAGGCCAGATGTTTTTGCTTTGTATGTACTCGAATTAGATGTCTCAATCATTTTTTTTTATTTTAATGGTTTTTACTGTTTTTATTGTTTTAAAATGTTTTTAAGATTTTAATTGTAATATATGTTTTTGAATTATAAGTCACCCAGAGTCATTTCCTGAGGTGGGCAGCTAGAGAAATCAATCAATCAAACAATTAAACAAATAAATAGATAGATTCATAATGTGCTTTCTTATGGAAGTCTTAATCAAGAAGACAAACACATAACACATGAACTTTATCTCCATTTCTTGCAGGATATATATATATATATATATATATATATATATATATATATATATATATATATTTCACAAATTCAAATTCATATTTCTTTATTGTCAAAGTACGACATGTGTACAATGAGATTGTCTGAGCCTCCCTTCTTGCACCCCCCCATCACAACTCACAATGACAACAAACACACAATCTTATTGCACCACGTGAACTTATTGCACGATGCGCCAGCCCCGCAAGTCTATCATACACGGAGTTATTTCCCATTCAGGAGTCTGACAGCTCATGGGTAGAAACTGTTCTTCACCCTGTTGGTGCGGCTGGCTATGCTTCTATATCTCCTGCCCGATGGTAGGAGAGTAAAGAAGTGCTGACCAGGGTGTGAGTCATCCCTGAGGATTTTCCTCACTCTTCTAAGGCAGTGAGCCCTAGCAATGGCATCTAGTGGTATCAGGAGACAGCCCAGGATACTTTGTGCTGTGCTCATCACCCTCTGTAGTGTCTTTCTATCTGCGGCTGTCAAGCCAGCATACCACACCATAATGCAATGTGAGAGGATGCTTTCTATAGTGGACTGGTAGAAGAAGGTCATCAGTTGTTGTTCCACTTTGTTCTTTCTCAAGACCCTAAGGAAGTGGAGTCTCTGTTGGGCCTTTCTGGCCACCTGGGTTGTGTTGATTTTCCAGGTGAGATCTTCACTGAGATAGACTCCCAGGAATTTAAAGGAGGAAACTCTCTCCACATGCCCCCCCCCCGTACGCTGTTTCATCTCCATCTTTAATAAGACCCAATACGGTGGTATCATCTGCGAACTTAATGATCGCAATGGATGGGTCAGATGATACACAGTCATGTGTGTACAGTGAATACAGGTAGGGACTGAGCACACAGCTCTGTGGCGAGCCAGTGCAAAGTTTCAGGGAGGTGGATGTGACAGATCCGACTCTCACTGATTCTTAATCCCTAACTCTATAACATATGTCTTATTTCTTATTCCTATGTATCTGACAGCTTATTTCTCTACACCTTATCCTTTATCGCTCAAGTTTTATTCTTGTATATTTTTACATTTTACTCCTTCACTCTTTTTCCAGATAGCTCTTGATGTCCATACATGCTGGCAGTTAGTGGGCTTTAGTCATCCTTGGCCACCTTCCAGCTGTGGAAAGACCATGGATTCTGGCTGCTGCCCATTCCTGTCTACACTAATATGGCTGATGGGGCTACTTGTTTCAATGGGGAGTTGCTCTGCTTCTTTCACCCCCCAAAAAAGCTGATGAGAGGAGGAGGAATTTGCACTAGTACTATAAAGTTCTCTTTCCATAGTCTTTAAGTTGGGGATCTCTCAATAAATATCAGCTAACAGTTCAAAAAAATAAAACTAATTGTAGCACTTTGATCAATATTAAGCCAAGGTTTTTGGTTCAAAAGGAGAGTTCTAACTTTACAGAATAGTCTTGAATTGCATCATGAAGTTACCCATAAGGTTGACTAGATCTCTCCCTTTTTTATTTTCTCTACTTTGTGTCTCAGATAACAGCATTAGAAACATGGCAACCATCACAGTAGTAAAAGCATTTTTATGTTACCACAACTGCAGATCCTCCTGAAAAGCATAAAACAATACTATCCAGATATAACAATAATTGTGGCAGATGACAGTGAACACCCAGAGAAGATTGAAGAGGCAAATGTTCAGCATTACATTATGCCTTTTGGAAAGGTACCACCTGTCTATGTGGGGCTTCTTTTAGGACTTCTAAAAAGGGTTTTTTTCATAAAGTAGCAGGTGGGTATTCTCTAAATTAGCTTGCAGACAGAAGCATAATGGCCCATGGTACAAGCTGAACTTTATTCCTATCAATTATAAATTGATAACTTGAATAAATAGTATTCAGTCAACTAAACAAAGCAGGACAAGTTGGAGAGTTGGAGTTGGAGAGAGGGAAGCACAGAACTTAGTAAACCGAGGAAGTTAATCTGTTGCTTTCTTATTATTGGGTCTCTTCTAATGATTCTGTTTCATACTCTTTCTGTTTCATTTTTCTGTTATTATTTTTCAACTGGCTCTTGACTTTCCATGTTGGAGCATCTCAGCATTTGAATTAATTCCCAATCTACATGTTCTGACCCCCTTTTTTGATTTTTAAATCAGGGCTGGTTCGCAGGGAGGAACCTTGCAATCTCACAGGTCACAACCAAATATTATCTTTGGGTGGATTATGACTTCAACTTCACTGAAAAAACAAAGATCCAGAAACTTGTGGATGTATTAGAAAACAGCAACTTGGATGTGATAGGACATTCATGTCATTACTCCTCTTATAGTTCAGTCTGTTGGCACAATACAGTGAGATTTTTAAACTTTATCTAGAGAATGTCAAGGTGTGATAGGCAATGTAAAGAATTTGCCATTCACTGAAATATCCCCTGCTGAAATTGCAAGGGACCTCAGAGTTTGTCCAGAAATGTATTTCTGTTCTTTGCATCTTTAAGAATGTGTACATCAACCTCAATGGTATGCAATGATAGCAAGACTGAATAGTCTAAAACAAATTTACAGGTTGGAGGCAGTGTGGATGGAAATGAATATAAATTTAAGATTTTCTATGAGGAAGGAGAAGATAGCAGCTGCTTGCACCTCAGAAGTGGCTTTTATCATCACTTGGAAGGCTTTCCCAACTGTGTTGTGACTAGCAGTGTAGTCAATTTCTTCCTGGCTCACACAGAGGAAAGCAGGCATGTTGGATTTGATCCTAAACTTCAGAGGGTGGCTCATTTAGGTAAGCCCAAATTCTTCCCCTCCGTTTAATTAATTAAGCTCAAACTATGATATTCCAGAGCTATACACCCTTCAAAACTGATTCAGGAGGATTGCTTCAGACTTCACAGAAGAGTAGGAGGCATCACTGCTTCAGACAAGAAGGCAGTGCAGAGAGTGGTGAGAATGGCTGAAAAGATCATTGACAGTTCCCTCCCTCTCATCCAGGATGTAGTACAGAAGCGCTGCTTGAGCAGGGTCCATAAGATTGTCTGGGACACTACACATCCTCTTCACGACCTGTTTTCTTTGTTACCTTCTGGGAGGAGCTTTGTGGTATCCATAGCAGAACATCCAGATTCAGCCATAGTTTCATTCCATACAGCATTAATCTTGTGAACTCTCAAGCTTCCTCCTTCTGTTATATATTCAAGATGGACAGTATTTAATATTTATTTGCTATGTATATGTAGGTATGTGGGTCTATACATGTGTTGATCATAGTATGTTTAGGTGTATGTCATGTATGTCTTTCACTCTGAGAGCAGGCAACTAAATTTCATTTTTGATGTGTGTCATTGTGCCCACAGGGAAAAAATGTCAATAAAGGTTATCTTATCTCTTATCTTAATAACATTTTTCAGCTGTTCAGTAAGATAGCCCATTTGTTCCAGGCTTCTCCTCCTGAGAAACAGATGATGCTGCTTTAGAGAATTTCATTAATTTTAATGAATTGACAGTTATAATGTAATGGCTTATTTTTTTAATGACAGCAGAAAGGTGATTTGTTCATAGCATTACTTCCAAATAATTTCCTAAGTCTGTACCATCCTACAGATTTCATTCCTGTCTTATTCAGGTCAGGAAGAAAGCTGTAATTTTGCTTTTGTATCTTTTAAATTATAATCTGGTTTTGAAAATATTTGTGAGTGGGCTTATTCATGTTTAAAAATCTATTGAGAAATATTGTCAAAACAAATGATAAATTTTTATGATATACATTACCCAGAATCATTTGTTCAGATGAATGGTTATAGAAATCAATTGGATAGATGAATATGATGAAGAGGGAGAAAGGGAGGGAGAGGGGGGGCAAATATTTACTCCTCACAGTCAGGATTTTTCAAATTTTATTCTGAATTTTTGACTTTTTTTGTTATGGGCAGATTCTGGCCCTCAGCAATTCTACAAAATGAGTTTTCAAGAAAAAAGAAAGGTTATGGTACTAATAGTTCACTGATCCTTGTCTTTATTTTTAAAACACTGTGTGGTGAAGATGCCAGAATTTACTTACAGTTAATTTTGCTTCCATGAAAAAAAGCTCTGTATTTATATAGAGGGAATATATGTAAATACAGAGATCATGTTGCCCTGCTTTCATACTACTGAAAAGGGACCTCTCTAGCAGAATCAACTCTGGAGTAGGAACTCCTTGTAGCTGAGAATCCCTGTACAGTTGTGGTTGAAAATAAGGAGCATTCATGAAAAAAAAGTTTTTCCCTTTCTAGCATTTGTGTTCATCCTGTAGGTCAGTGAGTGAGACTGAGTGCCCAAAACTGCCCCCGTCCCCAGTCCATCCCCTGCCCCACCCTGCCCCGCCCCCTCATCCCCCACCCCACCTGCCTGCAGGGCTACTCACCACCTCCAGGGCCCACCGCAGATCGACCAGGCAGCCCAGCAGTATCCTGGCGGCCATGCCCTCTGCCCACGCCCCGCAGCATCAACTGTGTACGATGGGGCGTGAGGGCAGAGTCTTGTCTACACTGCCTGGCTGCCATGTCCTTGGCTGCGCTGCTCCGTGTGGGCCATGCTCAGGGGCGGCTCTCCTCCAAGGGGGCTGCTGGTGAGGAGGGGGTCATGAGGGGAGGGGAGGCTGGGGCAATGGCACGTGTACCCACAGAGAGGGCTTCGAGTGCCACCTCTGGCAGGTATGCCATAGGTTCGCCACCACTGCCGTAGGTCTTCTGGGTGGACTCCACTTTCTTCTAAACATCTTCCCTGTATGAGGAGGGAATACAATTCTTGCATGTTATTTTTTCTTAAATGCTTTCTATGATTAACATATGGATATCTCTCTCTTTTCAGAATATTTTATGGATGGGCTTGGAAGCTTGCAGATTGGCTCCTGCAATGATGTTATCATTGGTCACCAGTCACACTTAATTTACACCAACATACAAGAAGCTAATGTTGAAAAATTGTATAGACAATTTCGGAATAACTGTGAGAAAGAAATTAGGTTTAAATTGTCGTTACATTACTTTAAGAACAGAATGAAATGTTATTCAAAAGACTGATTGATTCTTCCAAATCTGAATAGTTTTGGAATAGATTCAGCAACTTTAATTGTTTTAGGTATTGTATTTTTTCTCTTGACAATTCAATGTTTTACAGATTTCATCAAAAATGACTATTTTTAATGTACTTTATGAATCTTCTTTATTATGGAAGTTCTAATAGAAGAATTCTCTTTTCTTCCAGATCTTTATATATATTTAACAATAAATATGTAAATTTTTGTGACAACTATAGTTTGTTCTATTTACTTTTTAAATAGTTTTAAATAGTTTTTCAAATTATTCCTCCAAATCTGCAGGTGCCTCATTTGTATATGGAGAATTAAAATGGCTTTTGTCCTTTTCTTTTAAGATGAACATGTCACTATCTAGGAATTTCTTAGGCCGCTATTGTTTACTTGTGAATTCACACTATAAATTGAACAGTCTAATTGGAGATGTACATTCTACCATTTGTTTTCCAGTGCTTTGTCTAACGTTGCTTGCAATTTCTAGCTAAGAGGATATTAGAGATGCCTTGTACAATGTGTTAAATGCCCCTCTGGAAAAGAGCAGAATACCTCAGTGTTTAAAGGATGTGGTTATTAAATTGCTTCTAAATTGGTCTGCACTGAATCCCCTGGAGATTGGCAATTAAAGGCCACTTTCTAACTTTCCATGACCAGATAAAAGGAAGTCTTTTTGTTCCGTTTCAAAATGACTTCAGAGTGGATTGTGGGGTTGAAACTGTCTTAGTTAATCTCTTTTGGGGAGGAGTTGAAAAGCCAGTCTCTTGCTTGACTTAGACAAACCATGCTTTTTATTCCTGATATTAACTATAGATATTAACTGTTTTATTTATATTTTGGGCATTACGGAATCAGCAATATTTAGCAGTTTACAGTAAGTTAAAAATTTGACAAATATTAATAGTTTGGTGCAGTGATTAAAATATTGAATGGTGGAATCCAGAGCTGAGTTGAGGGGAGGAGTCAAGAGATTGCCAGTCTTGCGTTGCTGATGTGAAGGAAGTGGCTAAAATATCTTCCCTAAAACTTCAGTGTACAGATAATCCTTGACTTACATAACTGAGCCCAAAGTTTTTATTGCTAAGCAAGACAATTGTTGAGTTTTGTCCCATTTTAGGTATAAGCCAAATTGTTGTAAACCATGATTGGATATAAACTGGCTAATACTGAAACAGCCTTGGTTAAACATTATCATTTCATGCAAATTCCAGACCTTTCTGTCTTGGAAATTGAGAAGGAAAGGGGGGACTGAAGTTTGTTGCCAGATTCCATATAATATGAAGCTCAGCATTGGATTAAGTTCCGTCTGGTTTGCTGTTCTTGTATTTGTACAAAAATTTTTTAAGAAAAGTTGTTCAAAACAAATAACCTAAAAGCAACGGGTGGAAACTATTTCCCCTCCCCTCCCCTCCCTCCAATGAGGTCCAGCTTTTTGCTCATCAAGTTAGGATATGCTTCCTATTCCTAGGCAAGTTATATATATAATGAGAATATTTATTTTCCATCTTTTGCTCTGTGGTTTCTCCTTCATTTGATTTTTTTGGGTTCATTTTTGCCAGTCCCCCTGCAAGAATTTGTCATATGCATTCTTCAAAAAGCACCATACTATTATCCCACCTAAACTAACAAAAGTCTTGTTGCAACCTAAAAGATGTTCACATTATGTGATAAAAGCCTGTCAATGTGTCAAATTCATTTGAAGTGGACTGATACAATATATTATAGTAGCTAAAAACAGAGCTATGAGCAGTCTCATTTCAATCTCGTCATTCATAAATGTTTTAGATGCCTTAATTGGAGAAATTGCCTTTTCTGTCTACAACATTATTTCTTAAAATATGGTCCAAGAACTGAAGGTGACTACCAAACTGAGGTATTTGCTGCCGCTACTGCATCTTATTATTGCTTCATGGGATTTTTAATATATAATTTCTCAACATAGGCTGAAAAACTTTGAGTCTCTCAGAATCATGATGCAGTAGCAACAAATACATCAATTTTATTTTAATACAATAAATGTTAATATTAATTAATGTTAATGTAACCCCTATAAACAAAAGATCTTTTGAAGTCCTCCATAATTTTTAAATGTGTGAAGGAATCTTGAAAGAAAAAAGTTGAAGAAACACTGGTCTGCAGCATGAAAGATAATCAGACTGACTTACCTTTCAGGGCTGAAGTAGAATATATCTAGATAATGCATGTGAAGTACTTCTGAATATTTAAAGTAATTTACCAACAATGAACGGCACAATCCTACTGTCACTAATCGTACTTTATCAGTACGATTTGCTTTTTGAATTTCATTTTACTTTTGTAAAGCCAGTCTTGGACTTCAATCTTCATTATCTCAAGTTGTTCTAGGATAGTAATGAATAACCTGCCCCATTCTGGATGTCCTTCATTATGGGTCATATTTAAGACTTCTGTGACTTGTAGTTTAGCAGTAGCCAATAACCAGAATGGCTTATTCCTGAGTGAAGAAAATTTTCATAAGGATTTGCTTACTCTTGTTTAAGAATTCCTTGAGACTTTTCACTAGGAACTCCCCTATATAGGGAGTTAACTGTGCAATTCTCCATCTTCTATAGCTTGCTCCATTTCAAAATTTCTGGTAGCTGTTATTCTCTCAAATCTGATTTCCTTTCTTGAAATTTTCTCTCTACTCTAAAGCTAACTTTCAGGAAACATTTTTTAATGATCTTTAGAAGATTGTCATTATGTAACCTTCTCCCCCAATATATCTCAGCTCTTGTAAAAAAGAATAAATCATGGAAATATGTGATAAACAATGGGTCCAAATTACCTTCCCTTTATACACATACACTAAGAAAATTATTCCCAATAATTGAATTCTCTTGGCCCCACCAACAAATTTATAGAATGTTCTTGCCCCATTAATCTGCATTTTTTAATTTTTTTAAATTCTTTAAAATTAAAAAATAAAATAAAAATAAAGCAGGCTCTTTCCCAACTTTAAGTTAAATACCCACCCTCCCAAATTCTGCAAATGTAACTACAATAAGCACTAGGAGTCTTAAGAGAAAGATGAAAGCCACAAGTCTCTTCTGTTCCTGAAAAGACTGCTGCTCAATGTACATAATGGCTGTCTTTTGGATTGAACTAAGTTATGCATGGAGTAGCAACATGCAGAAATTCTTCATTCCCCCAGTGTTATATGCATACTTATTTTATTTGCAAATATACATATAACACTGAGTTAAGATGATAAACTCAAAGACCAGGTTTTTCCAGATTGCTGACTTCCAGAGCACCAAATGTTAATTCTCATCATATTTATAGTAGCATCTTCTAACCTGGCAACCTCCTACTGTGTTGGTGTCAGAATCCTGTGCTTTATGAATGACAAGTTAGTTATGGATTATGTGAAAAATGCAACACCATTGAGGGAAACCAAATTGGAAAAGGAAGGCAGTAGGGCCATTAAGAGCCCCAATAATTAAGAAAACAAATCAGGATCAGAAAATCCAAGGGTTTTGTATTATTATTATTTTAAAAAAATGCCTTCAAACTACAAATGGTCCTCAATTTACAATTATTTGTTTAGTGGCCAAAGTTACAATGATACTAAAAAAAACTGACTTGAGACTGTTTTTCACATGACCATTGTAGCATCCCCAAGGTCCTGTGATCAGAATATGGACACTTGGCAACTGGCATGTATTTCTGATGGCTGCAGGGTCCAGGGTAATGTGATTACCTTTTGCAACTTTTTGACAAGCAAAGTCAATGGGGAGGCCAGATTCAGTTAACCATTGTATTATTAACTTAACTACAATGATTCCCTTAAACTATGCAAAAAAGGTCATAAAATGGCACAAAACTCACTTAACAATTATGTTGCTTAGCAATGGAAATTTTGGGCTCAATTGTGGTCATAAATCGAGGACTCCCTGTACTGTCCTCGTTACTATGTGCTATGTTGCTCCACTAATGGAAACATTATGAATCTACAATCCTTCTATCTGTATGTTCTTTGCATTCTTTCCTGATTCACAAGTTCAAGTGCATTGGGGAAGGAGTGTGTGCGTGAAGTATAATTTTTACATGTTAAAGAGAAGGTCCTGCCCAACTACCCACCTAAAAATTATAGGATGGATTTGGATTCTGGAAATTTTGTAGCTTTTGAGAAACAAATCTGAGGGTTGGTAAGATTGAAGAACTACAATTCAAGAGATCTCTGTTCTGAATTTCCTTTTCAATCATCTTCATGGTGTCTTCAGTAAGTCACTCTTCTCTTACTTTCAGTTTGGCTAACCACCCACTCACAACATGGATTTTAATAATACTTAATTACCTAAATAAAATGTGGAAATAATTACTCATGGAAAACAGAGAGCAAATGGATTTTTTCCTCCTTTTATTTAAAAAAAAATGAAACAGTGGAGTAAAGCAGTTTGTGGCAGTAAACAAGCTGGAAGAAAAATGGAGCCAGTATCCATCAGTAATCACAACTTTGAATCTGAGCCAACTAACCTGCCTCATGCAAAAGACAAGGGGTCAAGGAACAGAGATTAAAAAAAAAAAAGGAAAAGCAAGATGAGAAAGTTTTTTTAAAAATACCGTGGACCAAAAAGAGAAAAACAATTACTCAAGAGTACAATTTTCAGGCATGAATTCATAACAGTTTCAGTTGGCTTAGAACATAAGATCTGACACATTTCACAAAATCATTACATGGAGTAAAATTTCCTTTCCAAATTCACACAAACTGTTTTTACACAAAGATGATTTATCTAATACATTTGTAGCAATAGATTATTCTAATAGAAAATAAGATTCAAAAGTAGTGTTCCTCAATCTCAGCCACTTTTAAGATGCTACGGGGCTGGGAAATTTTGGGAGTTAAAAGTTCATGCTTCTTAAAGTAACTGAAGTTGAGAAACACTGTAACAAAATAGTTTTACATCAATGGAAGATGTGAGGTTTTTTTCCTCATTAGCCACAAATATGTTTTAAAAGATTACAGAAATTCATGGGAACAACCATCCATCAAGGAAACTCTATTGAACCTCCATCTTCTGAGGCACTGAACCAGATGACAGCAAGCAATAAGGATTGGCAAATTACCGACACAATTTGCTGTCAGCTACTAGTTTGTTACGTGAAACAAAATGCTAGCTTAGATTAATAGTAGCCTTGGTCACTCATTTAATAAAACAGCCCTTATGATTCCTTCTACTGTGTTCATTAATTTGATAAACTGCCAATAAAACTACTTTTTTAAAAAAATGCAACAAGGTTGTTCAGCATTAGAGAAGGAGGGTATAAAAGAGTTACAAGTTACGCACTTGTGTGTCTAAGGCACAATTTCAATTAAACACTGATGGTTGTGTAAGCTGGTCAGCACTTATGCTAAGAACGTTGAAAGAAAATGGTACACGAGTTCTGATATGAATGATTAGGAAAAAGAAGGAAGAAATGTGTGTGTGTGTGTTTGTGTATATATATATGAAGTCATTAAAGGAGGGAAAGAAGGACTGAGGTGTTGGGGTTCTTACAAACTAACAACACTTCAAAAATCAAGGTTGATTATCTGTTAACGGTGGTAATGCAGCATCAGTGGAACCCAAGCAATTTTTCCTAGGTTTATGTCATTAACCTGTAAGGCATGAGTTGTTTTTGACGGTGCTCACAGTAAGCAAACTGCTTTCCAGTCTATTTGTTTTTGTCTTCCAAATCAATTCAATAGACTGGAAATGCTAAGGCTTTGGAATAAGGATTCCAGATCCAATAAACACAACATCTATCTGCAGATCAGGTTTTCACAGATCAACAATCCACAACATCAGGCATGTAGACAGCAGTCCTGTTTGATTGTAAGACAACTGTTGTTTTGTTGCAAGCTCCACATGCATCAGCCATGCTTGGACAGCTTTTGGCTGTTTCCATTGCTCACTGGATTAGGGCAAATAACTCATCCATTGATTCCAAGGCAGGAACCCCAATGCGGGTATCTACTGAGCTGACTAAGCTGCGCTGGAGAGTGTTGGCTTTGTTAGACATATGGCCAGGACACTATCTCCTTACCAGCAATGTAGAAACCAGACCTCTTGCCCATAATTCCATAGCCCTCTGTATCTTATCAAGACTGCTTTAGAATGCAAAGAGAGCCCTTAGTTCTATTAAAAAAAAAACACTTTTAAGCAGAACGATTATTTGGGGGAGGGGGGATTTTTCTCCCTAGACTACATAGTATGTTGTATTATCACTACCTAATTATTTATTTAAATCTATAGGTGCTAAGAGGTAGATAAAACAAACATGAATTGGTTATATTCATATCATATGTTATGTATATATGGTCATCATGCCCTTAGGCTGACATGAAGTGCAGCTCAACAGGCACTTAACAGGGTACCAATGAGAGGTTGGGAGGCCTGACTTATGATTTAGGGGCACCCAACCTGAACTAAACCAGGAGATATAATCTCTGGCTCACGATTAACATGTAATGCATGGAATGGCTGTGATTAATAAGAGAGTGAAGGACATGGCTTGAATTCCTATTGCTGAAAAAATATGTAACAGGCAGTATGTTAAAAAACAGAAGCGAACTTCTACATATGGTAGAATTCTTCTTTATGCTCACCTTTTCAAGTAAAAATTAGAATCTGAGTTGATTCCAAGCTGGGTCCAAATAGCCTGAGCTGCTATGCATAAAGCAGAAATATTAAATCAGTGGTAGTTACACTGAATCTAACTTAAATCCTAACAATTTCAGTGGACTTACTAAGTCTGGATCTAACTCTCTGGTTCATGCTACAAGGATTAAATTTGTATAGATATCAGAGATTTTAATTATACTTCCTTTGGGAAATCAATATCCAAAATACACACCTTGCAAAATTTGCCCATTACATTACCCTTGGAAGGCAAATAACAGCTAAAGAAAAACAGATTTTTCATTAATAAATGCCTATAGTCTTTTGAGGTTTATGTAGAGACATGTTTTCCCCTTCTTCTTCTTCTTAGAAGGAAATCTAATGTTTGCTAATGCTATCAATCAGAAATTTCATTAAAAGCTCAAAATAAATTGAGCTGAAAGTTATTTAATTTCATGGAAAGAATGTCCTTTTCTTTTTTTTTCTTTTAAATTGAACAATCAGAAAAGCCTGCTTCAGTTAGGGCAGGGGTGTCAAACTCGCAATGTCATGTGACGTGTTGTGACATATCGTAACTATTTTTCCATTGTTGGCAATGGGATGGGTGCGGTTTCGCCATGACGCATCCAGCCCAAGGGCCGGCAGTTCGACACCCCTGAGTTAAGGGGTCAGTACCTTCTCCATCCAACACACTCCCTTTAGCAACTGCTTAACTGAACAATCACAGCCACTCCATATTATAAATGTCACCACAGGGAACAGGGAAAATTGCTAAACATATAAACTTTTGCAGGAAAGCCAACCCCATTGTCTCCCAAGGAAAAGGCTTTAAACAAACAAACAAAAACACAACGCCTAAAGCGGTTGCCCTGTTGTGCCTGTATACCAACCACCAAGTTGGAGAGGTATTTTATCTTTGAAAAAGTCAAAGTTTAAAAATAAGATCCTATAATAAAGCATCAGGATTCACATCGATGTTAAATTAAATGTGGGAATAGATACTTTTAGAGAGTGGGTTGGTTTTTAGAAAGCTGTACAAAAAGATAGCAATTTATAGCCTGCGAATGTAACCACTTCATAGGCCAGACATTATAAATTACTAGCTTTGTATATGGTTCAAACACATACTTTGGCCGTGTCTGCACATTGCACTAAGGCATAATGTTACTTGTTTCAATTTGATATATTATGATGTGTGAAACCAAGCATTATAGTTGTTAACTGATTTATGGCTTAGTATTATCTAAGAAATAAAATAGCATAGCTTGTACAACAAGCTAGCATGAAGCATAACATGAAGTTCAGCAACTGATAGAAATGATTGGTAGCCATCTCTTGGCTACATACAGCATGACTTCTCCTTCTACTTACCTCACAGCCATGCTAATTCAGAAGTGCAGCAGCCATGAAACAATTCCTGGATTCATCAGATATACAGATAGAAATGTTTTGCTTCTATGGATCATCTTGTTTGGAAACTATCTTAGTAAACTCCAATATGCCTTCACATACAATTCTTTTGGGGTGTACAGGATTTGTGCCTTGGTGGAAAAGATGCACCAGCACTGTTCCTAAGTCTTTTTCAAATGTCACCTTCCTGAAAATGCAAATCTAATGTTTTTGGCTGCTCTGAGAGTTGCTCCTGCAAATCAGGAGTATTTGCTTATTATCTCCAGGTTGGGGTAGCAAAACCCTATTGAGGGTCTTCCTAAGTAAGACTGGCAAGATGATACAAAAGCATCAGAATTATTAATGAGACCCCCAGCCAGCATAAACACTACTGAATTAGATCTTTTTGTAGCTCTCATAAATTACAACTAGTCTTGCACAGAAAAGTATTCCTCTGAAAATAATACTTTCAGTATCACATGCAATAATCATAGAACTTGACAAGAAATTTTGCAGAATTTCTTTAGAAAATCTATAGATTCATCCATTTGTAAATCCAATTCTCTCCATTTTACAGCTCTCTGCCCATTTCTATCATTGATAAAAATAAAACTTTTTATCCTCCTTCTGTTTATTACTATTATACTTCTCTGTTTGGGTATGGCAGTCAGCAATTAACTGATTTCTTTTGAAATTCTTACTGAAGTATATTAGTATTGGGGGAGTGGCTATCTTTGAGTATATAATGGCAAAAAGTTGTCTACCATTGTGTACTAAGGAAATTGAGGAGAGTTTTAAAATTTGAGTATTAACTTATCTGTAGATCTTGAAATTTCAGATGATACTTCAAGGAAAAAAACTGAGCAACACAGGAACCTTGCAAATAAAATAGACAGTGCTTGCTGCTAATTGCATATAACAATATGAACACTCAACTGAGTCGAACACAATTGGAGGAAATGTAAAATTAATATTGGAGGAAATGTAAAATTAATATTTTAAGAAACTGGATGCACAGGGAATGAGAAAGATAGAACCTTGTCCAAAACCATGGAGTTACTGTCAACAATTCAAAAGATACCAATAGCATCCCTGAAGAATTAAAATGGTCAGACCATGCAGCAAAGTTAAGTCCTTACCCACCTCACAAACTATCATTATATTCTTCCTTGTGCATCACTGAAGAACTAAAAATTGCAACTGAGTTTTTACATTTCACTATTATTTTGGAAATATGAGATATACATCTCTTTTTTAAAAAAAATCTCATGTCATTTCCCCTATCAGTTTAGATGTATCTTCCTCCAAACAGATTGATCCAGTTTCTTTTTTGTTGCTTTGGATATAGTTCCTAAGATTTTAGTTTTAATTTTAAAGCAACTAATGTGAAGATTTTTGTCCATGTTAGTCTCTTTGGAAAGTCTAACTGTGGAATAACTTGAAATTTTTTCAGAAGGCATAATTTAACATCCATTCACATACATTGAATCTTGGATTCCAAAAACACTGCACCTATTAAAATATATTCTGGATTTGGTTCCAAGTCAACTGAAATGAAGTGCAATCAAAACACAGTTCCAAATATGATTATTCTTCTTATATATAACATTCCAAGTTTAGAAATTTTAAAATTTCTAAGCCTCCTGAGACAGCCTATGTAAATACATGTTCTTAAACATGCATACATTAGCATAGAAGGTCCAATAATATTAGGTCATTTGTGTCACACAGCTCTCTCACCTGCCCTCACACAATCCCTTGAAGCTTATCCTCCGGAGACTTTCTGCCTTTCCACTGTCTCGCTCCTCCTTTCTCCTTCAATTACAGTAAGCCTTTTGAGGAAAGAAAATCAATTTCGTGAAATCCTGGGTAGAGAGTCCTTATTAGTTCGTTGCAACTCAAAAGTGATTTTTGAAAGGCCTTTTCCACATTGCCATATGCTACGTTCTTAGTGGCTAAAATGATTTAATGCTTCCAGACAGGAGGTTAGGATGGAGTAGCTCTTCCAAGACACAAACCAACAACGTGATCTATGATGGGATATTAGGTACATAGCAATGCCTTGAAATAATTTTCTTAATAGGTTGCTCCCCAGATGTGTAGAATTTCAATCTCTACAATCCCCAGCCAGCAGATATGTTGCCTGAGGGATTATGGACATTAATCCAACATATCTGCTACAGATGATCAGAACAATAAGTCCAATTAAACCCAACTCACAATGTTGTCTTTCTAGATTTTTCTGATGGACAAGTTGAAACCCTCCAACTATTCAGATTAAGATCACAGAGATAGCTGAGGTACTGATGTAATTAAGATTTGTTTTCTCTGTTTTTAAGGATTCAATTTTATTGGCTTGTCAAGTAATCTTTTACAAAAAGATGATTTGATACAGATTTTCTCTGAGCCACTTTCAGACTATGTTAGAGGAAAAGGCTGTCTTCCAAATCATCAGATTCTTTAACACTAAAATTTAAAACGATATCCTTGTTTTTTTATATGCTATCTGATAAGTCTTTTTTGGAGGGCGCTTACCGTTGATATAGCAATAGCAATAGCACTTAGACTTATACACCGCTTCACGGTGCTTTACAGCCCTCTCTAAGCAGTTTACAGAGTTTACAGAATCAGCATGTTGCCCCAACAATCTGGGTCCTCATTTTACCAACCTCGGAAGGATGGAAGGCTGAGTCAACCTTGAGCTGGTGAGACTCGAACTGTTGGCAGCCGGCAGACAGCAGAAGTAGCCTGCAAGTACTGCATTCTAACCACTGCACCACCACAGCTCATATAAAGCTGTAAGTATGTATGTCCATCTACATACTTCTTGATGAGTATATTCCCATCATCCCTCACCAACACGGACATACACACGTTGTAAACTGAAAGAGCGTGGGGGAGTTTAAGGCTAACATTTATCTCAGTTACCATATACCTGATATTTATGGACACTAAAAATGTGGAAGCAATGGCAGCAAATAGCAGCAAATTGAGGTGCTGAGGGAGAAGCTATAAGGGCTGATAATAAGAGCCGAACCCTGTGTTCCTAACCTCATCTGAAGCCTTGAGAGCAGAACATGAGAGAGCTTCTGCATCTGGTAGAATTTGATAGTTATACGGCATTAATACAAGAGTTCAAAGATCCAATTCAAAATGAGAAATGTCTGCAAAACTTACAATTCGATGGCAAAGGGGCCAAACCACTATTACAGTTTGGCAGGATCAAACTTCAATGATTATGCACATTTTTTAAAAATAATTATACGGGAAAGCCAACCCCCTCCAACCTTTATTATCATACTCAATCACTGCATCATTTCCACTTAATAGATGAATAAGAACAGATGCACCCTCAGTAGGACAAAGGCCTTCTATTCAAGGCAACTGAAATCCTCTTGGATGTTAATAGGATTCATGTAATGCCTACAGCTTGAACCCTAAAGCCAGGCTGTTAAAACTGCCTACCCTTTGAATACTGTTATGCTCATTTGGATAATGCAAGATGTCTTCACTCCAAACATTTCATATAGCTGGAATTTTAAAAAAGAAAACACAGCAACATTTAGATGCTAAGAGCGCTAGAGGAGAGAGGAGAGAATGTTTTCCCACCCACCCCATTCCTTTCAACGAATACCAAAAACTGCTTGCTGCTAGGGGGAAAAACCAACTTATTTGCTATGGCTGATGTCTGAATTATAATAATTTTAAAAACCCTGATCTATGCAAGTCTGTATTAAAAGCAAGAGAAGTCAGAGATCTTCAAGAAAGGAAACCTACATTTTGCCCTACATCTTTTCCTGTGGGGACAAGAGCATTAGAGGTAGTATTCTTTTTCTCCACTCTTCCTAACTTATAGTTCATTACACTGTAGCCCATATTGTCCAATTAGACATTATTTTGCTACTGTCTTTGTTTATGAAGGGTGAGCAAAATTTCCATAGGAACATGTTTTCCAGCTAGGAAAGCAGGGGCAGAGGCATTGGGGTTTTCAACTCATCCCAAACTCCAATCTCTACAGGAAAAAGATAGCAACTTTTTTTTAATAAAAAGAACGATATACCAAATCTCCCAAGAACCCAGTTTGCATTTTGCTGGAGAGCTTATGGGTCAGAATAATTTTAAGACAATCATTTGTGAATCCATTTACAACCACTGTTTTTTAAAATTACATTTAGAGGATTATCTGTTCCAAGTGCAATGGAATATAAAACAAATTCAATCTTTAAACCTGCCCAGCTCCATACTTTTCAAAGAGTGGCAATTAGAGTTGCAGTTTCTCCTCAACAAAAATGTACAAAAAGCCACAAGAAAGTTTGGCTCCCATTTCTTTTCTTTTTCTAAAAAAAATAATGGTCTGCTTCTCCTCAGTAAAACCGAGGTAAATTTTTGTAGAATATTTCACAGTGATATAGCGGAAAAGACGGTCAAGTGAATGCAAACACAAGAATGTATCTCAACCGAGTAATTTCTAATTGGAATATTTTTGTAACTTTTCATTAAAAAACCTCATCTGTGGTTTTCCAATCCTAAGCACACTTCATTTAGTTTCAACAAGTAAAAAATATGCAAAAATCATGACCCATATGTTTCTAGTGATCCTATCACAAATTTCCTTGTATAAATGTACTTAAGTTCAATAATACCTGAGATGTTAATATCTCTCTGCATGGAGATCCAAAGGACAAACCACTTTCATGAGATTTGTCTACTTTTTGTTCTCATAATGCCATATTCTAAGCAAATAGCACTTGAGCAATCCCAGGTGATGAAAAATATGCGAAAGAAACCCCAGCTTTAATAAACCAGATAATCAGCCAAAGAGAAAATCACAAGTCTGCATTCCAACTGCCACAGAATTATATCAACTATGCCAATCAAAGAAACTCATCCTAATTTCGAAATTAAATATATTTAGGTAGAATTAGCCGATTTACACCCTCAAGATTGCCATATTACTTTGTCTTTTAGACAGCTGCTTCTTTTCACACAAATGCTAACAACCTGGACACTGACACTGAAATATACAGCTTTTAATTTTGCCAAATTTTTGAGTGGACAGAATTTATCATTTGAATTTTAGATATAAGTAAAATTAAGCTGCAAATTTGAGAGTGAGAGAAATCTGCCGTCTTTTCCGCTACATCTGAAGTCTCTGCAGTTCTCCATAAAGAGCTTGTAACATTTCCAACCTGCATAACAACTTCTGGCTCATTAGAAATTAGGAAACGTAACTTCTCTTTTCATTAAAAAAATAAAATATTCAAGACTATCAGCTTTTATATAAAATATCAGCAAGCCCAAAAAACAAAACAATTGTTGAGGTAACTTCATACCTTGAGGTAGCTTTTCCCCTCCATTATTGTCTCATTTCTTTTTTCTTCTTTTTTTTTCTCCTTTCCCTTAAAACACAGAGCAACGCCTGACATTTCTATACATGGCCTTCTTGCAAGGTTTTTTTTTTAAAAAAAAGGAAAGCAGCCATTTCAGTGTAAACAGCAAGATCCATACAGCCACTTCAGCTTAAATTCAAAGGTGTCATTTCGGTAACAGGCATATGGAAATACACTGGACCTAGATTTGCCAATTGTCACAAACAGCCCAGTCGCAAAGATATTGTTAAACCTTGGCAATCAATGAATCAACATATAACGAAAGTCTTGTCTCTGCTAAGATATAAATGTATCAAGACAAAGAGGGATAATTTGTCCCATATTGTTACTTATTTCCTTTTTAAAGAAAAATTACAAAATTAGAATGCAACATGATTGCACTCTATGTCAATACATCTGTAATCAAATGAATTAATTTCCATGCCTTGAATCATTGCTAAATGTCAAGTTATTTCATTAGCATTTTTAAGAGACTTAACACCCAGGAATCCATGTAAAAGAGAATATCCATATTCAAATCAACAGGGCTTTTGCAGCCACTGAATGAAATTAAAATCATTGAATTCATTTTTCCATTAATTTGGCAAAACTATACAATTTGTTGCTTATCCAGAGTATATAATGACCACTCTGGGGCAAACAGCTTTCCATGTCCACTGATCAAACTGCCTTGAGGTAGATAAGGATGCAAGAGAAGATTTTTCACTGGGTGGACTGTTTCAAATCAATTCCCTGTTATATTAGTGCTGGTTGCAAGGATTCAAGGCTCTGTTGGGGAAAATAACTTATTCTCAGAGGAACAGTTTAATTGATGCCCAAGTTTATGCAGAGACAAAACTTTGTTCTTTGCTCAGGCTGCCAGGTAAATTCTAAAAACCCATTGTAAATATTTTACACATTTTTTCTTTTTAAAGTTTGCATAAGAGTGACTGGGATTAGTAACCATATTACATTCTTCTGATGTCTATATTTGGTATCGCCTCCTAAAGAAAATCAGTAACTTTGTGGCAGAAAAAAATTATAAGTATTTCAAAATTAAGGGGTTGTTTGCTATTATTTTAATCACACCAATTGGTTTCATAAAAAAATCACTTTTGGTTTCATTTTTAGGCCCCATTGCTTTTCTTCCTCCAACCCAAAAAAGAAACAGCAATTTCTCTATACATACTTGCTATTTCTTTAATTTCTTCTGGAGGTAATTAGTTCCTTTTCTGGGCATTATATGACACATTGGCTTGTCTTCTACAGAGATAAACTGGCACTAATGTTAATCTGGAGATTAAGTCCTTTACAGTGCAATCCAGTACATACTTGGAATTCAATGCCCAAGGTGTAAGGTTGGGTTGTTAGGTGCGTAAGTCATCCATTTTAATCTCATAGTTAAGATCAATGAAGTAATTATTTGCTCCAACTCAGAGAAGATGTTCTTTGTATCTTCATTCATTCAAGTACAGGGAAGCCTGCTCCCTAGAGAAAAGGTCACCCAAAAACAATTCCAAGAGTGCCTGCATTAAAGGCACTTTTCATAAATGGCCCACAGTTTTTTAATGCACCAATTTGTAAGCCTTTTGTTATTCTCTGTATCAAGACAGGAATTACTACTACTCTTTTTTGGTATGACTAAGTGCTGAGGTTCTTCTAAAGGTAGATGACATATGAAAAGGGATAATTTCTGATGTTATTAAAACTCTGGAGGAAGTACAGCAAATGATGTCCGCTGCCTTGAATCTCTCCCAGCAGTGTAACACTGTAATGCAAGAAGCTTCTGAAGTGGACAGAAGCCCTGGCGGTTCTGGGGGGGGGGGGGGAAGGACCTGACCTGCTACATTCTAAGGTCCTTTGATTGTGAAATCTATATGGCAAGTAGCCTTGAGGTATATCTTTCTTTTGTAACCAATGCACTGCCCCACACTTCCCCTAAAAGTGTGTTTAAAAGTCAGGTACATGTAATGCACCCAAAACACTTGTGCATATATTGCATTTTTACTCTCCACTGATTTTGGGGGGGAGGAGGAAGCAACAATTACATGGACAGAGGCAGCCATGGAAACTGGCAATTAGGAAGAGAATGAGGCATTTTCAAATTACAGCTAAGTAGACAACACTTTTGAGGCTGAGATTCTCCAAGACTGGCAGACTTCTTTTGCTACTTTATCTAAAGCTGCCTTTCAACAATTAAAATGAGATGGCCACAACCTCCCCAAATATAGTAACTACAGGCCATTTGCTAGAGATCATACAGAAGTAATTGCACTTTCTCTTCAGTATAAGACAAGGGCAGGTTGATTTACCATTGGAGAAAGGCTGAACTGAAGGAGAACTAAATGTTATTTATCTTTACACTGCAGTTCACAATTCATTGCTTCATAGCACTGATTTAAAATCCATGTGAAGTAGGTTTCCCCAGTCTTGCGTCTTCCAAATATATTTGGTTTCAACTCTCAGAATTTCCCAACCAACAAAATACTAGTTAGGAAGTATTGAAGCTGAAATTGAAAGCATCAGGAGAACAACAGATTGGAGAAAACTATACATCTTCCAGAATCCATAATAAATGCTAGGTCATACTTATTTTATCAAAGTGTGTAACTTCATCTGAAAACATTCAGTATACTAGCCACAGGAAGAAGCAAAATCCCTGAAATGTTAAAATGTTAAACACTGGTAAAATAGGAATAGGATTTGCATTTGTGTCTATCTGGAATAGGGACTTTACTGTGGCTCAGACTTACATGTCAAAACATGTACATACCAAATTAAGAGAGAGGTTACAGGACATTAAGCCACTTTTCACAAAATGAAAAGTAAAGCCATTTTATCCATTGAACTGGAAATAATTTGAATCTGATGACTTAACAGTTCATGAGAATTACAACTCTATGGCCACTTGCCACAATTTTTGTCTTCAGTTGACCATCTCATTCCACCAGGATTGTTCATTAGGAATATACATCTTAGGCGGATTAAAGCATATTCCTCACTGATTGATTTTCTAATTATTTCAATGTTTTCTCTGGCTTAACAAATTAAAATATTCAGAAAGGATAGGGGAAGGAGAGAGGAAGAGAGACGGATAGACAGATGTGCTATTTATTTCCTCATTTAAGGATAAACCTGGCTCAGTTCAGATATCATACAAATCCGCCTTTGTAATAAAATCTTATACTTGCCAACTAAGAAGTTCCACCGTTAAATGAAATTAACTTTCCAGTGAGAGATTATAGAAAGCTTAATTATGATTTAATGGTATTTATTTGCTTACAAATCATACTTTGTTATTTGCATAAAAAATCAGAAACCCAAGCTAAAAATCAATTTGCAAGGTCAATTTTAAGGTGATTTATCAGTTAAAAACAGCCATTTTAAAAACATGGCTTTATAGAAAAGAAAGTACTAAGTATAGAAAGCAGATAAATAAATAGTTGTGTGTGAACAACACAAGTACGTTTGGATAAAACTCTTAAACCTATTAATCACAATTTGGATGAATTTAAAGAATACACTAAGTCAGTGTTTTAGTCTAGCATGTTGTATAAATTCTGCTCATACTGGAATGTTGAATCATGGCTTATGTTTTAAATTAAAAAACAGCTTGAATTCTAAACTATAAAGTCCCACAATCCATGATTTGGTATAAATTTCTGAATTGAGCCAGTGCACTATTCAAGAGAGAATACCAAAAAGTCAAATGTTTCCTTATTTTTCTCCCCATTTTTATAAACTTTTAGGACAACTGGAACACGCAGCCAATTTGAAGAATGTAATCTTTCCCCATATTTTGACAACTTCCAAGGAAATGGGGAAAAAGATATCTTACTAATATGCAGAATGAATTTTAGACTTTCAAAACATTTTTAAGTGACAGGAAATCTCTCAGGGGACATATGGATGTTAAGGGAGATACTGTATTCTAAATGTAAAGTTGAATGACCTTCCTATAAAGCAGAGATGGTCCACTGAGGATATGCAGGTCCAGAGTCAGTCTTCAAACTCCAGTCTTTTTTCCCAGACACTGGATGGAACATGAAAATCACCCAATCAGATTCTTGAGCTCATTCTCCCACAGTGGCAATGTAGCCAAAGTGCCTTATCCAGATGGGCTCAGAATGAGCTCAAGCTCTATTGTATGCTAAAGGGACTATGGGGGAAAAATCTGACATCTGACTTTCATAATCTTAAGGACATAATATTGTATCTGTCTGGAGAGATTCTCAGTCATCCAGGTCATGCTTGTCTCCCCCTCCCCCAAAAAAGGCTGTTGTTTCCTTAAGGAAGAAGAAAATGTTTCATTTCTCATCCAAGAAGGTTCATTAGTTCTAATGGTGGGGAGGATGGATAGGTACTGACAGTTGAGACTGGATTCAGGGGGGCTGGAAGGGTAGTTTCTGATAGGATTGGGAGGGAGGTCTGGAAGGATTATATTTCTTTACAGTCATCTGATTGTTAGCACTCCCTGAGAGCTGCTGAAACCACTAGATTAGGGCACAAGTAAACTAGATTAGGGCACTAGATTAGGGCACAAATAAACCCCCAAGTGGCCTCAATAACTTTCAGAGCTATTGACCATATGACTGCAAAGGAATACAATCTTTCCATCCCCTCCCCACCATCGTATCAGAACCTATCCTTCCATCCCCCGCCATCAACTAATGAAGCTTCTTGGATGAGAAGCGAAATGTTTTCTTGTTCCTCCTCAAGGAAAAAACAACAATCCAGTTTCCTTTTAAAGAAAAAGGCATCTTTGAGATAATACTGTATCAGAAGCCAAATACCTGGAAAATATCAGATAAGGGAGCCTGTTAGGGAGGCAGTTATAAAGAATCTGGTTCCATTCTCTGCCCTTCTCTTGAGAAGTGCAAACATTAATTCATGTTAGGGAGAGGGTTGCCCAAATAAGTCTTGAAACTATTGGGGGTGGGTGGGGAAGGTAGTATTAAGGTGGGCTTTTTAAAAATTTTGGCCTTGATCTAGTAAAGCTTGACATGCTTCCATGTGTAAGCTTCTTGCTTTCCTAGACAAAATCATGATCATGTGTAGTTTGATATTCTGACAGAGTAATTTGATTAAAAACTTCTTGTTTATTGCTGAACTTAGTATCCCCCCAAAAAAAGTATATTGAGTGAAAATACCTTTGTGTGAGAGTCCACATCTGTATTAATACAGACATGTATATGCTCATGATAGAGTAAGACACCCATCTCCAAAAAAATATTAATACCTGCCTACGGTAAACTGAATCCCAGCCACTCTTAGGGTTCTGAAACAGATCATCATTCTTTTCTGCTTGGCTTTGTTTCATCCATTGTCAATGTTATTCATTCATCTGTCCATCTCTCACTCTCTCTCTCTCTTTCTTTCATATACCCGGGTACAAGTCATTTCCTATTTCCTTCGTGCTTGTGTCTGGCTGTTTTGTCCCTTTTGATGCTGTTGTTTCACCTGAGCAAGGATATCACGAATTTTGCGTTGAGCCATCTGAGTGATGGGAGAGGGAGGAGGGAAAAGAAGGAAAGTAAAGATAGATAAGACAAATTACTCTTCTTCTCACTCTGGGAATTATGGTAATGACATTTCAACAATTCTAGTGGAGGATACTAGGTTTCAAATGGGTGGCTTATTGATGCAAACTAAGATCAAAACCCATGATTTGACACTTGTCTATCAATAAATTAAGAATTCAGGTAGTTACAAGTTTCTCTTTGCTTCTTATCATAATTATAAACAGTTATAAACAAGATTATCAGAGTTTTTCAAAGTTGGCAACTTTATTGCTGATTGGAAACCCCTTATGCTACCCTTTTTGCATGAAACAGAAAAAGTGAATTTAGGATTTGTAATTTTGGTGCTTAGAAACAAAGTATTATAGAAACAAGAAAGGCAGGGAGCTACTTTTTTTTAATCTTTTTTTTCTATATTTCTTTTAGTTTTTCTCCTTCTTGCATTTTTAGTTTTCTATTTTTTTTCTTTTTTTTCTTTTGCTTACATTATTTTAGTTTGTGGTCCTTTTTATCGTCTGTTTTAAAAAAAAATTGTGTGCGTGTGATTGTGTGCGAGAGAGGGAGGAAGGGAAAGAAAGATAAAAATAATGCTCTGCCTTGCTACCCCATCACTCAACTTTGGATTACTAGGTAGGCCTTCTCTCTTACCTTGAGACGCTGTTGATCAATGCCAAATCAGGTTGGAAGAAAGCGAGTTTAACCTCATTTACATCAATGAGATTTGGTGGCAGCAGCGGAAGATCTAACCCAGCTCTGCCCAACCAGGTATTTGGCCCAAGCTCAATTAGAAAGACAATGGGGAGGAAGAAGTCATCTATCAGAATTTTGTCCCATCCAGGAATCTCAAAACTGATTTTGGGCTGATTTTGGATCACAGACAAAAATCAAGGATTTCATTGATGAACCACTTGCCCTGCTGTTCAATTTTCCCGTTGCCTCAGCTAGTGAAGACAATCTCTTAAGTTCGCCATAGAGATTCCCAGGAAATATCAATATCCCTGCAATAGCTATTCACTCAAGTACATCTCAGAACATGATAGGTCCAAAACATAGTGCAGAACTTTTAATCTCAATCCAGTTTGGAGGACAAGCCAAAATGAAAGTGATCCAGTCATTAATGCTTTGAGAATCCACCTGTCTTATGGATGGGCCATAAGAAAGATGGAGTCTCTTAAGAAAATCAACCTTTCTTATGAGAAGTAATTATCTAAGATTATGAGATTTAATTATCTATGGCCAAGTGCCCCTGAAAAGGCAAGAAAGTTATTCAGTTGGTCTGCCCTAGAAACTAATGGAGTCAGAAACATTCTCAAATGTTTTGGAAGATTTTTCAGAAGCAATGGCATATAATCATATTCAGGTGGAACAATGAAATAAGAAGGGACATCCAACCATCTCTGGTTACACAAATTGGAATATCCTTAGTTTACTGCTTAACTTTGAGCAATGAACTGAATGGAATTCTGTTATGAAGCTAGAACATAGAAAGTCCTCAACAATTACTGCATCTTTTTTGAACTGCTAAAAGGGCTTTCTCTGAGGATGCACTGAATACTCGGGGCCAGTCCTCAGAAATTCAGTAATGTATTGCAGTAACTATTTGCAATGGACTGTCAAAAGTAAAATTGCATTGCATTTGCTCAGCATTAGACATCACAATTACTGCAAGATCTATTGAATTTAGAGATTGCAACTGGGCTAGTATTTGTGAGATCAGATGGCACCAGTGGCAAGAAAGTTCTATTTCTAATCTACTGAGCTGCCAACTGCAGCTCTACTTGAGTTAAGGTAACCTAGTTGCAGTGTTCTATGTCTTACTAGTCTCATAACTGGATTACTGTACTGCACGCTATGTAAAATTACTTTTAAATATGGTCCACAATCTGCAAATAATCAAGAGTTAACTAAGCTGGTTAAATGGGACAGAATATATGAAATGTTAAAATAATGGGATGATGTATGTAAATGGAAAGTTGGGATATTTAAAGGTAATTAATTTCGAGAGAATTATGACCAAGAAGAATGATTTGAATACCGAGGGGAAATTAAGCTTAAATAAGAATTTTGAAAACAGGACATATAATGACTTAACAAGATGACTTTTATAAATATAGTTGAAATATAAGCTGTTCAGAAAAGATGTCATATGTGGATATAGGATATATAAGTAGTATAGTATCTTTATAATATATGAAATATGAAAATATTGGGATGGGGTATGTAAATGAAAAGTTTGGATATTTAGGTAATCAATTTTAAGAAAACTATGACTGAGAAGAATGGTTTGAATACTGAGGGGAAATTAAGTTTAAATAATAATTTTGAAAACAGGACACATAGTGACCTAACAAGATGACTTTTATAAATACAATTGAAACATAAATTAATTAGAAAAGATTTTATATATGGATATCATTGTTATTTGTACAAACACAAAAAATGTTTATATCCATCCCTGTATGCACTGAAAATATTATATTTATCTAATGTTGACAAAGGAGAATACCATTGGAAGAAGATCAAGGAAACATACTATTAATACATTGAGCATGGAATTATAGAAATTAATTATCATTTATTGTTTTTTCAAATATATGAACCCAGATAACACGCTGTTTACTAAGCACCAATGATTGTTATTGCAAAAAAATTTTTTTAAAAAAAAATCTTTGGGGGGCAGGGAAGTGAGCATGGTGATACTGCAATAACATCATCAAAGACATAATGTAAGATTTGGGGTTATTTTTGATACTATCTGCCCAGTAAAGTTGATATAATAAACCTACTTAAAAGATCTATTCACTATTTATTTTTGAAATGCAATGTAATGTTGAAAGAATAAGGAATGCTGATCTCCTGCCAAAAGGGGCTGAGAAACTGAATGCCATAAGCAAGCTGCCTGTTCCTTGTCTAGCATCAGCTGTGTACCAAGTACAGTGATCTGTATTAGCTGCTACCTGGCTAGCATAGAAATGTCCGATGATTTTGACAATGACTTGCTCATTCTCATCAGGGGTTTGATCCCGGGGAACAACTACCTCAGCTGCTGTCAGGTTCTGAAGTTCATTGACCTACAGATAGAGAAAAAAAATTAATTAATTAATTAATTTGACGGCATTTAAAAGGCTGATTATTCTATACTGAAAAGACCAAATGGCTTTGCAAATACCCTATTTTGTGGTCATGTCCCACTTTATTAGGACACCCAACTAAGAAATTCCAACTTGCTCATATTCAGATACGCAGAAATCTAAAAAGAATTATTCAGCATTTTGAAATTGTTCCATTCTCTTCAACATTCTTATTTTAAACACTCTAAAACTAGGCCCACACTTTATTTTATTTTTAAAGACGTACAGTTCAATAAATAAGGTATAGATGATTAAGCTAGTGCAATACTTCAAGTTAACACCAGCAAATTATGCAATGGCTTAACACATACCAACCATGAAGTCAGTCTTAAAAGTATATATTATAAATCTAAAAAACTAATTTTATATGCTTCATTTACATATTTGAAAACTAGTTTAGATATAATCAGGATTTATAATAATAATCATAATTAAGATTTCAAACTATGAGTTGTCTTTCCCATGACCGCAGAGCAACACCTCAAACAGTATTTTGCTTGTTAAAATGTATAAATAGTAATCAACCTAGGACCATAATAGAGCCTGGAATTTCCACCGTAAATCCTGATGGTCATACGTTGAGACATCCATGTGACCAGACCCAACCTTACAACTTTTGCAAGTTGTAAGCAAATGCTGTCATTATAAAGTGAACATGGTGGTTGTTAAGCAAATCAATGTATTCCTATGGGCATTTTTGTAAGAAACCAGCCAAAAAGGCCAGAAACCAGTAAAAGTCATAAATTATGGCCACATGACTATGGAATGCTGAAACTGGCCATAAAGATGAGCTGGTTGGCAAGTGCCTGAACTGTGGCTATGTGTCCACAGGGGAAGGAGGGAGCACAACTAATGAAACTCTGAAACTGGGTTGTAAGTAGCGTTGAAACAGTCCATTATAACTTCAAATGATGGATGGTAGATCTCCCTCCAACCTAATTTCTGATCTTGGTTTCTGACTATTTTCACACTGCTCTTCATCAGAAGCTAATTTAAGCAATACAGGAAACCACAATCTAGCCTGATATTAATTTTTAAATCTCCTCAGAACTTTCTGTAGGTGCTAATTTGAAACTTGCCTTGAATTTTAACTATGCTTCGGTTATCAGGCATTTGGGAAACAGATCTGCATCATATGGCCATACATTATTTAATGCCCCATCTTGGGCCACAGATGAAGCAACCCAACATCACAGGGCTTTTTTTCTAAGATGACTCTTAGAAAAACAGTGAGTGCCCAACCCTGCACTCACTGTTTTGCCTCCTTTGCCAATGACTCTTCCTGCTGCTGAGGCAGGGACTCGGATGTGCGTCTCAAGTTTCACTTCTTCTTTGGGCCCAAAAAAGTTCTCCTCTTTCAGCTTTCCATAAATTCGTCCTTGAGCCTGAAAAAAAATCAAGCCACCAAAGAGCAATTAAATAGGTAATTCATTTCCTCTGAAATTACAGCATGTTTTAGCTTTACCTAATACTGGAAGAGTGCTATTAATTATACCTTAACATAAATACATATCAAAATAGCTCATCCTTCTTATTGTTCTCAAATCCTAGATCATCAGCTAATGTCTATGGGTGCCGTCATATCATTGCTGACACTTAGTAACTGATCCCTAGTTTTCTTGGCAAGATTTTTGGAGGTGATATGCCCTTCTCTCCTGGGGATGAGAGAGACTGGTCCAAAGTCACCCAGCTGGCATTGGGTAGTGCCATATAGCAAGACTACAATTCACATTCTCCCAGTTCCTGGACTGATACATTAACCTCTACACCAGACTTCCTCTCTAGGAATGGTAATAGTGATACTTAAATAATAAACATAATTAAATGGGGTAGCAGAACACAAAGTTAACAGCTGTGCACAAACTCAATATACTTAAAACTAGTATTTTCTGATTTCTGTTATGTTAAGTATTAACATTTGGCAGTAACTTGTAAAAGGATTCTGAGGGCTGCACAGAGTTCTGAAATAGCAGGCTATCAGTCCGTTTTCTGTACAGGTACTCCTTGTTTAGTGACTATCACTGGGACTGGCAATTTCATCATTCAGCAAAGTGGTTACTAAGTGAAACTGCAATTGTGATTACTATCTTATGTCCATTTTTGTTTGCTTTAGCAAACTGCAAAAGTTATAAATCCAAAGAATATTTACAATGCTATCCTTTCATCACATAACGGAAAAAGTTACTAAATGAGGCAGTTGCTAAACACCTGTAGAACTTTGGATGTCGCTTTGTTTTTGTTAGGATTTCTTTACATTTAAGAAAGAAAGAAAGAAAGAAAGAAAGAAAGAAAGAAAGAAAGAAAGAAAGAAAGAAAGAAAGAAAGAAAGAAACACATTTCCATAATTTTAACTTCCTCTCCATATAGAATTCATAGAAGAAAGAAACCTTAAATTGGGCTTCTGGCGGTCCAGTGATTATCACCATACGCACTTTGGAATCTGGCGTCTCTGGAGGAGCAATCTACAGAAGACAAAAAGAGGCAGTGAAATGAAATACTAATCTGTCTAACAACAAAGTTCCAGCTGAGCAGGGAAATTGATCCAGTTATGAAGTAAGAATTGTGTTTTTTAAAAGATGGTGATGGTGATATCCTTCCAAAAGTGTTTCCCAGATTTTCTTACAAATAGATTAAAGTATTAAAAAATGCACTATTAATTTCATCAATGCAGTCAGAGAAACACTATTAGGAAGTTTCTGACTTGTTTTCCAAAACCAACATTGCTGTAGCTAGTGCATAAAAAATTTCACAGCAATCACTAACTAGCAAGGATTGAAGCACTGAAGCAACAGAAAGGTATGGGCACCTTGATTGAGGCACTTGCGAATCTGGAGAGCTGTTTGATGTGCTGCCCCTTCTTGCCAATGATTGCGCCTACAGCCTGGGCAGGGATGAAAACATGCACGGTCTCTTGCTCAGGAGGCTGCCAAGAGAGTAGTTTTATAAATACCAATCAGTGTCAGAGAAACTGGACATTTTCAATTGACATTCTGATAGGCTAAAAACAAATTTCTATACTATCCATTATGGGCTGAAGTGCCATGACATCATTACATGCTTAGTGCAACTTCAGTGAACTCAGCATGAACAGAACAGATGATGATGATAAATGCAGGTAGGAGAAATGGTATGTGAATTTGGCTATAGAGGTAAAATACGTTTGTTGAAATGTTTATAACAACAGGAAGCAACAAATTGGGAGGGGTGGTTATGAAAGCTCAATCAAATCATCTTTTTCCGTCTTTGTGCTCAGAAGCAAACATATAAACATTATTGAAATTGATGTATTGTATTGAGGAGCCCTTGTGGCATAGTGGTTAAAAGTGAAGTATTGTAAGCAAACTCTGCCCACAGCCTGAGGTTCAGTCCTGAAGGGGCTCAAGGTTGATTCAGCCTTCCATCTTTCTGAGGTCAGATTGTTGGGGCCAATATGTAAATAGTGCTTATGCTGTACACTGCCCAGAGAATATTGTAAAGTGCTATCGGGCAGAATAAATATCTAAATGCTACTGCTATTGCACACACTTTTCCGATACACTATTGACATTGCAAGAATCAGTGAAACAATAAGTATAACACCTGACCCTCATTAAAAATCTTGTCCATTTTGCAATTGTCCAGTCTTGTATCCAGACATGACACTCCATGTGAAGTAAAATACACACACAAAAAAAGATTCTGAACATTCTAGAAACACCCCCATATAAGGATGCATTATATGCATTTTGCTGAATGCAACCAAATTTAGTGGGAACCAAATACACAGCTTAGTGGAAGCTATGCAAACAGATAAAATGCCTCTTTTTTCTATGACAATTCTATGCTACAAATTGCTTATATAGAAACAGAGCTCAACATTACCAAAAAAGAATTATATGGAGCTGCTCCAGAAACACTACTTGGAGGAGGGGGCACTGCATTGGAAGAAGCAGGAAAGAGACCAACAGCAGCTAGGTTGAGACCAGGTATCAAGTGTGACTGTAGCTAAAATAAAAACAGAGAAAACAAGACAAAAGGGAAGGGGAATGGGGTGTTTATTTTTTTTCATTAAAATCCAGTTATCTGGGAGTTTAATAACTCTGAAAGGCTTAAAGCAAAGATCACATCATTTTTCTTTAAATGAGCATCTTAATATTATGTTTGAAAGCTCTTGCTTTGAAGCGATGGTTCTCTTTTTATACTCAAGACGTATAAAATTCTTTTAGAATTTGCTTTAAAAAGTTTAAGTCTACTTTATTGTTAGTTTAATTTATTAAATTGTTTTGGCCACCCTGAAGAAGGATTAACAATTAAAATGGAACCCCTATAAATAGGCAGCCTAGACCAGGGGTCTGCAACCTTGACAACTTTAAGACTTGTGGACTTCAGCTTCCAAAATTCCTCAGCAAGATTAATAATAATAACAATAACAACAACAACAAGCAGTTGGAAAGGACCTTGGAGGTCATCTAACCAACCCCCTGCTCAGGCAGGAAATCCTATACCATTTCAGACAAATGGCTTTCCAGTCTCTTCTTAAAAACTGGCTGAGGAATTCTGCTGGCTGAGGAATTCTAGGAGCTGAAGTCCACAAGTCTTAAAGTTGTCAAAGTTGCAGACCCCTGGCCTAGATTAAAACAACTAGAATAAACAACAAATACGACAACCCGCTACTCTCCAAATGTAGAGCAAACGCATTAACCCCTGAGGTGTAGGAACAGAGTCAGGTCTTAAGAGGGGTTCTGGATGCTGTTCTAGAAGATGGGGGCCATAACATAGAAGGCACATCTCCTTTGTCCCACAAGATGGCATCATTTAATTAAAGAGATCTGCAGCATGTCCTCTCTGCTCAAATATACAGGTGGACAGAAAGAACCGAAGGGAGGTAGTTTCTCAAATAACCAGGCCCCATGCCAAGAAGGATTAGGTTGTTACTCTCTGCTATATATCTTCCCATTACTTTGTACAGGTAGTCTCAACTTACAACCAATAATTTAGCAACCATTCAAAGCTACATTCAATACCATTCAATAACACTGAAAAAAGTTGCTTACAACCAGACCTCGCGAATACAACCACTGTAACATCCCCATGGTCAAAATTTAGGCGCTTGACATATATTTACAATGTCATGTGATCACCATTTGTGACCTTCCCAGACTGCTTCCAACAAGCAAAGTCAATAGGGGAAGGCAAATTTGTTGAACGACCATGTGATTCACTTAATAACTGCAGTGATTTACCTAACTGTGATAAAAAAAGATCATAAAATTGGGCCCAACTTACTCAACAATCACCTTGCTTAGCAATGAAAATTCTGGTTCCAGTTGTGGTTTAAGTCAAGGACTATTCTGTAGCCTCTTTTGCCTATGAACCTTTCCAGTTGGAAAATGTTATAGGACAGATATTTCTTCATAATTCCTTCTCGGGAATTAAGACTGGGAAACCAAGGAATCTACAGAGCAGGATGAGGTGAGTGTGCAATGAAAGGGATAAAATTTGCACACTTTGCCAGTTATGTACATCTTCCCAATAATTTCACCAATATTTTCTCCTACTTGGATTAGATTCAGTTCCTTATTACTTCAATGAAGGAGATTTATCTCAGAGCAAATGATGTTAATAATGGTAGGGTCTTTTGATGGTAAACCGTTCAATACAGACAGTCTAAACCTCTGTCATATAGGGTACAATATACACATTTGAATCTTAAAGAATGAAACAAAATAGGTACAAACACACTTACACTCATGGCTGCTACATCATTCTCATAAGCCTCCCTCACTTTCTTCATAATTTCTTGTTCTGCTCTGCAGCAATTATCAATGGAGCCTTTCACAGTGATAGTCCTTTCAGGGTTGTATAATGTCAAATCCTGAAGGCTGAGTGGGAACATCAGAACAAAAAGTGGTTCTGTCAAAAACCCCTGCCTGGGAAATCTTTCGGATTTCTGCATTCAATTCAACCAGTTTATGAAAGAAAGCACCCCAAGAATCTTCTTTGTCATATAATTCTAGCAATATTCATTTAAAAGTAGGTAGTACTGTTACATACTCTGGCATTATTTTCCAAGGAAAGGCATGGATCACAGGAACTCCTACATATGAGGCAATCTTTTTGATATATAATGGCCACAGGCTGGGAGACAAAAATCCACAATTTGCTCCTCCAAAATATTTAGAAGGCAAAGGAGCTTTCTCTGCTCCCGTAATCATATCCAATTCTGTTTAAGCCTTTTGCCTTCTACATCAACTGTAATGGATTCAAGGGCCAAGGCACCCATTCAGAAGTTTGTGTATATGTTATTGAAGCAGAAGATTACTTGTCAAAAAAGCTGGCACATGGGAGCCAGGGGATAAGCAGGATTGTATTATATGCACACAAACACAGATTGCTTGTATATTCTCCATCAGAATAGGAAAGCCAAAAAGTTCACAACTGTATTAAAAGTAAGGTAAGAAAAAACAAAGACTTACGAGGAGATGGTGATCTTTGTCTCTGTGTCCTGTTCTACTTTCTTCAGGTTGCGGCCCTCCTTGCCAATCAGTCGTCCTACAAAGTTGTTGTGGGCTAGGATTTTCAGAGGTACTTCATCAGCACTTGAGTATGAAAAATAAGTTAAGTGAATTAAAACTCAGTGGCAAATTGTTTGCTGGGCATGCAGAAGTCTCCCATTTCAATCACCTGCCTTTCCAATAAGGATATAAAGATTATCTAAAACAGCGGAAAACCCTAGTCAGGCAGTTGGTATCAATAAAAGTGGACCAGATGGATCTATAGGCAGTCCTTGTTTAGCAACTGCCTTGTACAGCAACTCTTTGCAGTTACCAATGATGAAAAAATAATTTTGCAACCAATACCTGTATTTAAGATCTTCACAAAAATATGAAGTTGAAGTAATATCATATTCACAGTCATGTTTTCACTTAGTGACTGCTTCACATAACAACCAGGCTGCCAGTCCCAACTACTGTCACTAAGTGAGGACCATCTGTGTTTCCTAAACCTGTATTAGGCTGCTACTTCCAGTCTTATTCCCCAGTTTATTGTATTGAGAGCAATAGGACCTTCCAGCTATTGCAATGTCGGATCGCAGCTGGACTCTTTCTTTGGAGCAGTTATTGCTTGATCACAAAAAGAAAGCGGCAAAAGAAACTTTCATTTCTCAAAGGGGCTTGCCAATATGCTCTCATCACTCTATTTACATTTAAATAAACTTTTGTCTTATTCTTAACTTGCATAGTTTTTTCTGAATTTCAAAACTAGGGAGCAAAAACTACAAGAAGTATACAGGTATATATCTTAAAGGAGCCAATATATCTACTGAGCTCCTTCACATAGATAATATCCAAGAAATCCAACTGACTTGTAAAAGCAAAAAAAAAAAAAAAAGTAGTAGCAAGCAGTCAGAAGCAAAACAAACTGGCTACAGAACCTTCCATTTTCAATTTTGGCCTTTAATGAGAAAGGATCTCATGCAGCAATGCTAGAAAAAAAATTCTGGGTAGCCTTCCTAAAAAGCCTCGCCAATCTTGGCACTAACAATGACCTATCTTACGTCTTGGTGTCTTTTGCCTCCTTCTGCATGATTTCCAAGATCATCTTGCAAGCAGCAGAACAGCCTTCTGGAGTTGAATGGATGCTTATTGCTTTCTCTGCCGCCCCCGCATTTTCCTTCCGATGCACATCAATTCTAGGGTGGATTCAAAGAAAAGCAAGAAATCACTCAGTTTGAACATATAAATAATGATATACATCCAAGGAATCAGAAACTGATTAAAAGGTCATAAGTTGCTTCAAAATCTTGTAATCCTTCTCTTTACAAAATATCTCCAATGCCTCATTTCTCATTTATTCCCAATTTGGGTGCATATGTATTTTAATTTTATTCACTTCCTCTAGATCAGGGGTCTTCAAACTTGGTCCTTTTATGATTTGTGGACTTCAACTCCCAGAATTCCTCAACCAGGACAAGTTTGAAGACCCCTGCTCTAGATAGCCTAATATAGGCCACTGAGTAATCTACAAATTAATGAAAGCATTTTATTAGAAAAGTAAAACAGTATAAAAGAATAAAAAACAGTAGTCACAGTTATTATAATAGTAAAACAACATGAAAATCCAAGTAATAGAATTTGAAAATGCCTGATTCTGTGATAAAAATATAAATGTAGGTGCTAGAAGAACATACACTAGGAGACAACTTGGCTGACTTAGTCTCTATGGGCAGAGGACAAAGCTAACCCATTGGTGGATTCTCCACTTGTCATGCTGGAGAATCTCTGTTACAGCAAGACTTCTTTAGCATAGTGGCCATTTTTGGATGCAGTGCTGAACATATACATAAAGAACATTGAGGCATATGGGCTCCAGTTTATCAACATAGCTGTGGCAACATTATAAGCTCCCTTTTCAAATTATCCATAGTTTAATAATATCATCCAAATCCTGTACTGTGCTTTTTTTAAAAAAAAAAAATTAGCAACAGAAATGCTGAAAATCAAATAACTCCCAATTCATCCTCATAGGAAAGAGAACAAAGAACGAAACTTGAAATCAGAGTAATACAAAACAACTTTGTACAATCTGATGCCCTGCAGATCTTTTGGAACTCCAAACTATAAAATGTTCACCAGAGTTGGAGGACACAGACACTGGATTTGAGTTTGGATTGTAGCTGTGTAATGCTTGCTTCAAATTTTTGTTGTATTACTATGGTCACTATGCATCCCAGCAATATTATATAGTGTGGGAATACTATAGGAAAAGGGAGAGGCAGCAATATATATTCCTTGAAAGAAGAGCAGGGGAAATATAAATTTTTCTGTTAAAGAATAGTGTCCAAAATTCAGATTCTTGCTTATTTATATCTGAGTTGGGTTGTTGAGGATACATTTATTTTCTCTTTGTCTCCTAGCTGCTTTCCTGTAATTTTAATTAAGGTTGGCCTCTTTCACATTGGCCTCATCTTGACCTTGGAAAGGAATTTTTTTGTTTTCTGAAGACTTTTCACTTTCCTTTTCGGTTGCCAATTTTGAACAATGAACCAGGATAGGAAACCCATTTCAATCCAAATTTCAAACTGATTATGGGAAATCTCATAAATTAGATACCATGTATAGGTGGAGCATAAGCCAAAATGTAATTTTCTAGTTTGGATTTGCTTTATGCCCTGTATGGAATTTAGCAACATGTGAAAAAGCAGCTAAAGTGCTCCTACCAAAACAATATCTTACTTGGACTGTGTCTGTTTGGTTATGTTGCGGATGGTGGCACCTTCTTTACCAATAATGGCTCCCACATACTGGGTAGGAACAAGAAGCCGAAGGGGGATATCTACTGGTTGCTGTTTCACAGGAGCTCCTGAAGCCACAGGAGAACCTTGCCGTGGGGCACCCCGTGTTCCAAAACCACCTCGACGTCCATTCTCTGCACCCTGCACAGTCTGTTCATCAGGTATGTAAGAGACCTTCAATGCATGGTTTTCCAGTTGATGTCCATTAAGTTTCATGATAGCTCTGGAGAAGAAAGAAAGATAAAATGGAAGGAGGACTAATCTGTTTACAGGGCAGGTTATGCTGGCTAGGGAGAAATTTTAAAGGGGCAGGTCACCATCAGCCCTGGGCTAGCGATTTTATTATTAAATATCTTAGTTGTATCTTATATATCAGTGCTGAAGCCTACTTTAGGAATCCAACACTTATGTAGAATAAAGAACACCATCTATCCCCAAATCCAACCCAGCAATCTAGAAGCCATGCCAAAGTTTGCAAAAGAAGTCAAAGAATTTTTAGAAAAAATATCCTAAAAGGATTTTTTCACCATTCTCACTGAATAGCATCAGTTCATATGTGAAAAAATAGAAGCTTGCAAAATTTAGCAATTTCTCTCATTTGAAAAGGTATGGGCATTTTGCTGCCAACCTTGGATATATGTTATGAGGAATAAGTAAGTTACATCAAAATCAATCATATACAAAGAAGAATAAAGAAAAGCCAACGAACCTATTTAAAATCATAGTATAGTAGGTGAACTAAGCCTTTTCTAAACTGATAAACTGAAAACCACCTTCCCATCTCACAATCAATGCTGCTTTATCTTTTCCAATGCAATCTTTTTTCCCGTCTGCTCCTTTATTTTGCCAAAACGAAAGGAAAATGTAACACATGGAAAAAAATAGTTCATTATTAATTCCTTCAATTATCGTTATTATATTTCATCGCACAATCAGTCAGATGCTTAGACTGGATTGGGCATTTTTATCCATCCATCGAGTCTTTCCCAAGGATCTGGGATAGAATGTTGTTTGATGATGATAAAGATATTTGTCAAAGAATGTAAAACTGCCTTTTTCAATTGACTGATAGCATTTTTGTCAATGCCAGTGGTGTTCAAGTGGTACTTTAAATGTTTTGAGATTGCACCCAGGCACCTATCATTATTGGCACTATCTTTGCTTTGCCAGTCATACTACTTCTGCTTGTAGGTCTTGGTATTTTGTGATTTTCTCCAATTCTTTCTTTTCTATTCTGCTGTCTCCACATTATTATTGTTGCTGTTATGATTATTATTCGCACAGTTAGCCAGATGTTTAGACTGGGTTTGGCATTTTTGTCTACCTATCAAGTCCTTACCAAGGACCTGGGGTAAGCAAAGGTGGATATTTGTTGTGTTACAGATATCAGATATCACCTCAAGATGAAAGCTGTTCCCAGTAAGGCCACTTTTTGCAACTGAATGATGGCAAATTTGTCAAGGACAATGATGTTCAAGTGGTGCTCCAGTTGTTTTGGGATTGTACCTACTATTACTACTACTACTACTACTACTACTACTACTACTACTGTCGTTATTTCTATGTCATCTATGTCTGGGTGATTAAATAACTTCTATATAACAACACTTTTAAGGTTTCTTCACACACTTTTTCTGTTAGTTCTATTCTTAATATATCACATTCTTTTAAATATAGGTGACTAACACATTTGGAAAACTAAAAATCATTCAGGGGATCAAAGGGAACAAAATGCCTTTCTCCAAGTGGACCTAAACAAGGCAGGCATACACTGGAAATCTCTTTTTCTGTCATGTCCTGAAATCATTACTTTCATATTGAATCCAGCCATAACCGAGGCAGCCTTACCATCCTTAGCTGTTTTGATGTAATGTTTTCCACCTTAAGCAAACAACACAGCCAATCTTACCTTGACCACTTTATATTGGTACAAACATGCTCTATATTTCCTGTGACTCTAGTCATTTTGGTTTGGACAGGGTGACTGTATGACTTTTTGAAATATTATTTTAAAAATCCCTTTGAAATATTTCTTCTGAGCTCCTCTGTTAACTTGCTAGGTCTCTATGTGAACAACAACAACAACAACAACAATAATAAAGTTGGAAGGGACCTTGGAGGTCTTCGAGTCCAACCCCCTGCTCAGGCAGGAACCCTACACCATTTCGGACAAATGGCTGTCCATTCTCTTCTTAAAAATTTCCAGTGTTGAGCATTCACCACTTCTGGAGGCAGGTTGTTCCATTGGTTAATTGTTCTAACTGTCAGGAAGTTTCTCCTTAATTCTAAGTTGCTTCTCTCCTTGATCAGTTTCCATCCATTGCTTCTTGTCCTGCCTTCAGGCACCTTGGAGAATAGCTTGACTCCCTCTTCTTTGTGGCAGCCCCTGAGATATTGGAACACTGCTACACCCTTTAAATTGATTTGAGATCCTAAATGATCTCAGTATCTATGGGGAATTTGGTAAAGGAGAGTAATTAAATTTGAAGATAGCCAATTATCTAAAGATAATCCACCAATAAATTTATTGTATGTTATGTAACGGTTGAGATTTTTGAGGTCCAGGATTGCCCTCCATCCTCCTGAGGTCTTGAGGACGGAGTAAAACCCCTTGCCTCTGTATTCTGGTTGAACCGGTTCTATGGCTTGAATATCCAACAGCTGTTGGATGGCCTCCTGCATAAGTTTGCGTTTTATGGAATCCCTGGAAACTGAACAACTGTTGAATCGGTCTGGAGGTGTGACTAGAAACTCTTTGTTAAACTAGACATACCAATTCCAGCAACCATTCCTTATATGTTTTAGCCTCCAAACCCCTCATCATCTTTGTTGCTCTTCTCTGTACTCTTTCTAGAGTCTCAATATCTTTTTTACATCGTGGTGACCAAAACTGGATGCAGTATTCCAAGTGTGGCCTTACCAAGGCATTGAAGAGTGGTATTAATACTTCATGTGATCTTGATTCTATCCCTCTGTTAATACAGCCTAGCACTGTGTTGGCCTTTTTGGCAGCTGCAGCACACTGCTGGCTCATATTTAAGTGATTGTCCACTAGGACTCTGAAATCCCTCTCACAGTTACTATTATTGAGCAAGGTAATCCCTATACTATACCTGTACATTTGGTTTTTCTTGCCTAAATGTAGAACCTTACTTTTTTCACCATTGAATTTCATTTTGTTAGATAGCGTCCAGTGTTCAAATCTGTCCAGATCCTCCTGTATCCTAAGCCTGTCTTCTGGAGTGTTGGCTATTCCTGCCAGCTTGGTGTCATCCACAAATTTGATGAGTTCCCCATCTATCCCCTCGTCCAAATCATTGATGAAGATGTTGAAGAGCACTGGGCCTAGAACAGAGCCCTGGGGCACCCCACTACACACTTCCCTCCATGTAGATGCGGTTCCATTGAGGACCACACGCTGAGTACGGCCAGTCAGCCAGCTACGGATCCATCTGGTGGTGATGCTGTCTAACCCCGCATTTTTCTATCTTCTCAAGTAGTAGGTTGTGATCTACTTTATCAAATGCCTTACTGAAGTCCAAGTAAATTATATCCACAGCATTCCTCTGGTCCACTAATTTTGTCACTTGGTCAAAGAATGCAATAAGGTTTGTCTGGCATGATCTGGTTTTGACAAACCCATGTTGGTTTTTAGTAATGACTTGGTTTGCCTGTAGGTGTTCGCTGATTCGTTGTTTGATTATCTTTTCCATAGTCATCCCAGGTATTGAGGTCAGGCTGATAGGTCTGTAAGTTCCTGGGTCCTTTTTTTCCCCTTTTTTGAAGATGGGAACTACATCAGTTCTTTTCCAGTCCTCCGGTAGTTCTCCAGTGCTCCAAGATCTTTGAAAAATATAGTTCAGTAGTTCTGAGATCACATCTGCCAGTTCCTTGAGAACTTGGGGTGTAATCCATCTGGTCCTGGTGATTTAAACTCGTCTAGGCTGGACAGGTGTTCACTTATCATTTTCTTGCCTATCTTAACTTGTGTTTCTATACTGTTTTTATGGCACTATTTTTGATAGATTGGTCTGTTTTTTCCCTTTGTGTAAAGACAGATGCAAAAAACGAGTTAAATAATTCTGCTTTCTCCCTATTGCTAGTCACCTTCTTATCACTTTCACCCACTAATGGACCAATCATTTCCTTCATTTTTTCTTGTTTTTTACATGTTGAAAGAAGCTTTTTTTGTTATTTTTGACTTTGGTCGCAAGACTTAGTTCATTTTGAGCCTTGGCTTTCCTCACTTCATCTTTGCAGGCTCAGGCTATTTGTTGATTTAGTTATGTGCCCCTCTTTCCACTTTCTATACTTGTCCTTTTTATCTTTCAATTTGTCAGAGAGTTCTTTATGCAGCCATGCTGGTTTCTTTTGAGAGCTGTTATTTTTCCTCTTCGTTGGTATTGAGCTAGACTGGGCTTCTATTATCTTGTTTTTCAAAATTTCCCAAGCTTCTTGCGTTGTTTTCCCCTGGAGGATTCTCATCCATGGAATCCTTCCCAAGCCCTCTCTAAGTTTATTGAAATTAGCTTTCTTGAAGTCCAAGACTCTAGTTTGACTATGTTCAATTGCTTGTGCTTCCATAATGTTCAATTCCAATATTGCATGATCACTACCTCCCAAGGTTCCTGTGGCTTCAACGCCTTCTATCATTTCATCTCTGTTAGTGAGAATTAGATCCAAAATGGCTAATCCCCTAGTTCCCTTCTCTACTTTTTGGGAGACAAAGTTGTCTGCTAGGTTTGTCAGGAATCTGTTTGATCTTCCACTTGATGCAGAGTTTGTCTCCCAGTTGATGTCAGGGTAACTAAAGTCCCCCATTACTATGGTGATGTGCTTCCTACATACCTTAGTTAGCTGACTAGCAAAAGGTTCATCTATTTCCTGTGTTTGGTTGGGTGGCCTATAGTATACACCTATGGCAATGTCATTTTTTCTCCCTTTTATATTGACCCAAATGCATTCAAGACAATTTTCATCATTGTTGTGCTCTATTTCTGTGGAGATGTAGTTATTTCTTATATAGAGAGCAACTCCACCTCCTCTTTTATTTGGTCTGTTTCTTTTAAATAATTTAAATCCCTCTAGCTGTGTGTTCCATTTGTGGATTTCATCCCACCATGTTTCTGTAATGGCAACAATATCATATCTGCCCTCATTGACCTGAATTTCTCGTTCACCCTGTTTGCTGTTCATACTCTGTACACTGGTGTATAGACATTTGAGTCCTTTATTACCGACCCTGTGTTTAATTTCTACATAACCTGTGTGGTGCCTGAGTTCCCCTATTGTCTTACCACCTATTTGGTTAGTGCACTTTGTGTGGCACTCGCTATTAAAAGCTTGATTTTGCTTGACAGCAAGGTTCGTATTTTTGTCCACACACATATATATGCTACATGCACTGATAGTCCTATTGTTTTTAGATTAATAGTTAACAAACACTGTGGGTGGGTGGCAGTAGAGCAGACCTTTCTGCCATCACAAGGAGCACTGAGTAATGACAGATGGCTAAGCTTATCCTGACTGGGGCACAGGAAAGCATATGTATAATTCTTTAAACTCACCTCCCTTTGCAGCAGACTATGGGAAGAAGGAAATTATGATGCAATTTTAAAGACAGAGGGCAAAGTATAATTGCATTTATAACTTTATAAGATCAGAAGCTGCTTTTCTATTTCCTTATTATTTTCTGTCTGATTCATCACTATTTTTACTTTACTTCTTTTCTAAAATAAGTATTTTTATCATGTTAAAAATTCCTTTAGTTAGAAAGTGTACACATATATATATATAAAATAAATGTGTCTCCTTTTGTCTGAACCTGCCTAGAAGGGCAGCCTTTGCTGCATAGAAAATGAGGGTACTGGCACCCCCCTCCCCCCAGCTGCAAGCTAGAACAGAGGCAATTGCGACTGGGAATTAGGGCAGCAAAAACTATGCAGGATTAATTTTCTAATGGCTCCCAAACTGTAGGGAGAGCTCCTTAAATGGAGAACAACTCAAAGACATCTAGGATTGTAAATGGCTTTGATAATGGCCTGCAGTTCATAAAGCTAACCATAGATGGGGTGTTAACATTAACTATAACCCAGCATGAAACAATCTGATATGCAACCAAGCATCATCCCATGTACATTTGCCACTCTGTTAAAATCTGTCATCTGAGACCTAGGTTTAAAATTCTCCTGTAAGTTCCATGAATTCTACACATTGCCTCCACATAGTGGAGCAGTAAGAAAGGAGAGCAAATAATTCTGTACAGGAAACATTTACTTTTAGATGGCTAAATAAGATTTAATACATCACAGAATTTGCCAGAGATCATATCAGAACTGTTTTGTTGTTTGATGAAAGAAACATCCATTAAGTAATCATAAAAACAATATTCAATTAAAGCAGCAATCCTACATGCACTTACTAGAGAACAAGTTCTCTCTAACTATTTGAAGTACCTTTTTCTGCAAGAACTCCTGGACTGCTCCACAAAGAAGATAGCGATGGTGATGATGATATGTGACAAGGCTTTAATCTAGGATTGTAAGAACTTCCTCCTCTTCCAATTGAGAATGGAACAATATATTCAGACAAAAATAAGTGATATCTAACAATATATACCTTGATTGCAAGCCTCTATTTGTTCTCCTTTTTAAAAAAAAATTCTCTTAGAATATTTCAGCCTCAGAAAGAGAAATATGTAATTAAGAGAATCCTTCCCTGATCATGTCCAAGATTTCAGAGAAGCACTGATTAAGGATATCTTACATACAAGTGATAAACTATAATTAGGTGAGACACAGATTCTTTGATAAATAAATCATAAACATGTTGCAGATCTAACAACCTGTCAGAATATAAAGCTAATATAAATACCTTTCTGCTAGCTTTGAGTTCAGTATTCTGTGCAGGGTTATATACGCACACAAAAATACCAAACCAGAAACACTTATAACTAATAAAACTTTAAACTTACTGTCTGGTCTGTTCCCGGTTAGAATAGGTGACATTAACAACTGCTGTCTCGCTATCCGTATTCACTTGCAAGTAAAAAAGAAAGAAAGAAAAATGTATCTAATTTAGTTAAAATGCACTTTATGGTTTAAATAGCTTAGAATTAGTAGCTAAATCTTCACTTTTCCAAGAATACTAAAAACATGTAATATGGACTTGTTTATTTTTGGATTAGTGGGATGTATGAACCTCTCACTCATTGTAGCTTAAGTATATGAGAAAAATAGGCTATTACATTATTTATCTCATCATTATTTAGAAATCCTTATTTTAGCTTTACATTTTAATCCAGGTACTGATTAATAATCAATTTTTTTAAGATTACAATTAAACTATACTCCATCTTTTCATCTCAAGGAATTAAAGATCTCATGAATGCTTCCTTCGTATGCAGCAGTAAAGAGTTTGACTTCCCCAACATTACTTGAGTTCCTGAGTATGGGAAAACAATAAATGGTGGAGAAAGCAATGTTCTGGCAATATGCTGATCTCACATAGAGATGCTTCGCAACTTAATTTTGAGAACTCCAATACAAGCTGACCACATCCTTATCTTCTATGCTAATGTGCAAATTGGAACTAACTTTTGCCCGATGATTTTTGTTCTTTCAGAATGTCCAAGCATTGGTCTCGATTCCAAAACTATATTAAATATATCTTAAGGTATATTAAATGCATGTAACAAATGTATTTGCTTAGACAAAAATAAATACATTTTATTTTTAAAAAATACTAACAGCAGCTGAGAAAATGAGATGGAACACGCTGTAAGCAAACATGCAGGATTAGATGAATCAGAATCGACTAACAACACAAAGATATTTCCTCACAAGTATCTCTCCATGAGTTCATTGAAGCTATTTTGGAGTAAACAAATTTAGGATTAAGCTAGCTGTTCCTCCTTCAATCTGTGGCACTAAGATAGACGCAGATATACAGGTATTCCTCAATTTACGACTGCAACAGAACTTGTCAATTATGTCATGACAGGCATAAAGTGTGTCATCACATGACTGATCTAATTTTATAACCTTTTTTTTTTTTGCAGTGGTCATTAGGCAAATCTATTGTTTGCTATGGAGTCTTTCAGCAAAAAGATAATAAATTGTGGTCATGTGACCATAAATGTGGGCTGGATGCTGCTTGCCCAAAATACTGTCATGTTACTGTTAGAAGGGCAGGGTCTGGCTGTTCAGAATTGGATCATAAGTACCTTTATTTTTGGAGCGGGGGGGGGGTTCCATCCTAAATCAAGGACTACCTCTATTTCCCAAACCTTCTCATGAAAACTTACCTTGTTCACAGTTTTCCACAGTACCATACTGAGCCAGCAAACCATCCAAGACCTATTTAGATAAAAAACAAACCTACTCAGTTAAAAACATACACAGACACAGATACATAGAAAAGAGGGAGGGATTAAGACATGCTTAAAAAATTATACAAAGCAACACAAACCTGAAGAGGGAACGTGTTTTCCCGAAAATAAGACCTAGCTTGATTTTGGGAGTTGGACCTAATATAAATCCTACCCCAAAAGTCATAGCATTGTGGTTACCTAAGGGGTGGGGGTGGGGTGTATGGCCAGCTTGACGTCTCTCGCATGGAACATGAGGGAGCCCAGGAGGGGATGGGGGGAGCTGGGGGGGAGGGACAGGAACTACAGAGTTCTGCATGGTACAAATGAGATAGAAGATACTATTACTGCATCAAAGCCATTTAGTCTGAGGTGACTAGTGAATGTGGTTTCAGCTTTTACCCAGACCCTTGACTAGAAAGAGTCTAATTCAGGGATCGTTCCCCTTTTCCTTCAGCACGCCCCAACCTCCCCGCGCTTCTTTCCAATTCTGCCTCAAAGCCTCAGCGATTCAGTTCTCTCCCCGGCTTCCCAGCATGCAGTCCTAACCCTAGCCCCCTTCCTTCAACTACCATCTCCTCATTTACTACCCACCCACGAGGGGCAGGCTTTCTTTCTCCTTGCTTGTTCTTCTTGGGAACTGTTTTCTAGCATGACTTTGAGGCAGCAGCTGGGTGAGTTTCAATTGCCAAGTGTGGTATCTCGATACTATGAGTTGTGTGCTGCAAATGTTTTGCTCGTTTACTTTCTCAGCACCAGAACATGGGCCATTTTGAAAGGAGAGGGGAGCACCGCCCAGTGGTTTTGGCTTAGTGAAGGGCTCCGCCCGGTTTGGCGATTGGCTTACAGGAGGGCTCCTCTTTAGGCTGGTGTATGCTGGGTGCTGAAGTTCTGTCCAAGTGAGGTTCAACAGGTGGAGCCACGCTGTGGCCCCGGACTCCCAGGAGGAGTCAGGCTTGCTCCATTGCAGCAGCAGTGACGGCAGCAGCCTGCCAAATCTGCACTGTCCGCAGCACTTGCTGGCGATGTGAGCTGGGTCAGAGGTTGGATCAGATCTCTCTTACAGGCACATACACAGAGGTTGGATCGGATTGCTCTCCTCCCTCCCTCCTTCCAACACACACACACACACACACGTTGGATTGGATCTTGGCCTGCTAAACCTCACTTCACTAAATCAGACAGAACTTCAGCACCCAGCATTCACCAGCCTGAAAAGGAGCCCTCCCATAAGCCAATTGCCAAACCAGGCGGAGCCCTCCCATAAGCCAAAGCCAATGGGCGGTGCTCCCCTCTCGTTTCAGAATGGGGCGTGTTCTGGTGCTGAGAAAGTAAACAAGGAAAACTTTTGCAGTGCAGCAAATCGACAGTATTGAGATGCCATACCTGGCAACTGAAGCTCACCCAGCTTCTGCCTCAAAGCCATGCAAGAAAACAGAGGAAAAACAAAAGAAAACGGAGAAAAACAAACAACAAGAAAGAAAGCCTGATCCTCGTGGGTGGAAATAGGTAGATGAGGAGGAGGTAGTTGAAGGAAGGGGCAGGGTTAGGACTGCATGCTGGGAAGGTGGAGAGAGAACTGAATCGCAGAGGCTTTGAGGCAGAATTAGAAAGAAGCGCGGGGAGCTTGGTTGGGCTGTGCTAAAGGAAAAGGGGAGTGATCCCTGAATTAGATCCTTTCTATAGTCAAGGGACAGCGTAAAAGCTGAAACCACATTCACTGATCACCTCGGACTAAATGGCTTTGGTGCGATAAAAGTATCTTCTACCTCACTTGTACCATGCAAAACTCTGTATTCCTGTGATTGGCCCTGCTTTCCAACCTGGTCCTCCAGCAGGTCTGCTGCCCCACCTGCAATAGCCCTACCTCCTCCTTTCCACGCCTCTGCCTCTGCCTGCAAAATAAGACACCCCCCAAAATAAGCCCTAATGGGTCTTTTGGACCAAAAATAAATTTAAGACCTGGGCTTATTTTGGGGGAAACATGGTATTTTTTACTTTTCCCCAAAAATGTATAACAAAGAACAAAAACTAGAGACAGCCAAGGCTTTCAACTGGCAGTGCAAATCCAAATAATGTCACTATACATTATTATAGACCTTTCTGCATTTGCCTTTACCTGAGCCAACAAACAAATCCAAAATGTCTTCTTCTACAACATTTGGAAAGGTGAACACACTTTAATATTGAAACAGTTTGGATTATAAGTGATAAACATGATAAACACTCAGTTCATTGCAGCAAGTGATTCCCACTTTAGATCCCATTTTATTTTAAGTTTGTTGTGATGAAGAAAAAAGGCAAAGTTCACAATGAAATTATTAAAATGTTTCTGCAATTAACTATTCTTAGTGGGAATCTGGAAAGAGTGTCTAGGTTGATTCCTATCACAATAAATAAATTTCAGATTATGGGGTACTAGTCACTTCTTGTTCTAGGCAACTGTTTCAGGCCCACTCTTTGAAATATCCCAAGCTCTGCTCCCTGCCCCTTGGGTTCCCCAAAGCCTATGGGCCTTCTCTGTATTGCATCCTATCACTGTAGTACTGTGTGCTGTAGTATCTCTGTAACCTGTCATAAGGGCAAATGACCATGGGGGCACCGCAGGGGTTGCAACTTTGAAACGGATTCATATGTAGCTTTTGGACTGTGCATTATAACTTCGAACATTCATTAAATGGCCTGCCATATCTCAAGAACTACCTGTATTCTATCTTGGTTTTTACAAGGCTAAACAAAGATAAGTAACTTCATAATTTCAAAAACTGGACACTAAAGGGGAACTTAGTTTTTAGGAAAGATTTGTTTTACCATTCAGTAAACAACTCTTGGGGACTTTATAGGCAAATGCTCTCCAAGCTATCTTGTCAAGCACCACTTCTATCAGTTGTTGGATGTTCATCTTTGTATAAGCTTTGATATTATCAGTGGTAACATCATTAATTTCTCCAATGATTTTGCATACATGATGTGATCTTGTTATTTTGGCTTCCAAGGATGTATCTAGTTTTATATGCTTCAGCACCACTCTGTCGGTTGTTATGGCTAAATCCATGGTATATGGAATAATTTAAGTCAGCAACAAGTTCAAAAGTGTCACTACTTCTTCGGATCAGCCATTCTTAATGTCTAACTCTCACATCTATACCTGATTACAGGGAAGACTATTGCTCTAACTAGGCTGCTTTTATATTTATATCAATATCTCTGTTCTTCCAGATCTTATTCATGTTAACTATTTATTGCAGTGCAGCCTAAGGTTATCCTGTGTTTGATTTCAGGAATAGAATTGCCATCATGAACAATTTTTGATCAAGGAAGATAAATTCTTGAACTAAATTGCTTCCTTGTTGATTTTAAATATCTCATGTCATCTGCAGTTGTGGTCATTATCTCTGTTTAACTGAAGTTAAGACTCAATCCTACTTTTTCACTTTCATCCTTGATTTTCCAGATCATTGTTTCTGGATCTTATTTATTTTCAGCCAATAATATTGTATCATCTGTGTATCTCAAATTATTTATGGTTCTTCCCCCAAACTTCACTCCAACATGAGGCAGTTCCAGATCTCATTTACAGATGATCACTTCAGCATACAAATTAAATAAAAATGGGGATAAACTGCATCCCTATCTAACTCCCTTACTGATCCTAAAGTTAATCTGTGTCACCATAGAGTGACATGATCCATCTAATATTGGCAATGTGATCTCGAGTAACACGCCCCTTTCTAAAGCCAATTTATACATCAGATAACTCTTGATCAATGACATTCTGTAGCCCGTTTAATGGTCTTGGGATAGGGAACTATGTTGCGTCCTTATACAATAGAAAACAAGGAATAGCTATCAACTAGGAGTTATTATTAGATTTATATTTTGCCTTTATTTTGAACAACTCAACGTAACTGGAAAATCTGGTTAAAACTAGTCATATTTTTTCTTGTTCTCTCCTAGTAGGTATCGCAGCAAGAGGACAGATGGGAACCAGAGGGAGATTTTCTTATATTTTGTCAGAGACAAAACTCTTTGAATTACAACAAAAACCACTCCTGGCTGGGTGCTAAGACCACATTCTCTTTCGTATCATCAGACTTACCTCCCACCGAAGCTGAGGTGGGATATTTCTTATCTGAATTTTGCGGCTCCTAATTGGAAAAGAAGAGGAAGAAAATTATTTAAATTAACAGCATGTTAATTTAATTTGAAACTATCATTTACATACAATAATATAGCTACAGTATACAAGAGCTGCCTTACAAAAGTCCAGGTGATCATTAGTTTTATTTACTAAACAAATGGAACATCAAGATACTAAAAGTACAAAATAAACCAGAAAAGAGAATCAAAGGAAAAGATAAACTCTCATTAATATGTGTACTCTTCTCAATTATATGTGTGTAAGTATATTAAATATATTAGATCTAGATATAAAATTAAACACATACATGTAGAAATATAGGTAATCTTCGATTTACAATCATTTGTTTAGCAACCATTTGAAGTTAACTGGCACTGAAAAAAGTGAGGTACAATATATCCTTGTACTTACATTTACTGCAGCATCCCCATAGGCATGTGATCAAAATTCAGGTGTTTGGCAACTGGCATGTATTTACAATGGGTTGCAGCCTCCTGGGGATCATGTGATTTTTTTAAAAAAAATATTTTTGACTTCTCAAGCTGGTTTCCGACAAGCAAAGTCAATAGAGAAAGCTGGTTTTAACAACCATGTGATTCACTTAAAAACTGCAGTCATTCATTTAATATGAAGCTCGTAAAATCAGGTGTGACTCGTTTTAACAACCACTTGCTTGGCAAAGGAAATTCTGATCCCAGTTGTGGTTATATGTGAAGGATTACTCGTACATATATATTCTCTACAGAAGACTCCTAGATGTCAGCAAAGAATATAGAAAATTCTAACCATCTGCTGCCATCTAACAGTTCTCTGGATGTCTGCAATCCAACCATGGCAGCTCAGTAAAAGAGGTTTATTTACAAGTAGCACAAATGTTTCATATTGAAGATAGTAAATAAATTTATATACAAACTGAGAATGCATTAGAACTTCTCTTATAGGGTATTATCTCAGAATTATAACTGCCCTTGACAAAAACTGTGAGAAAGCAGCTTTCTCTACACTGCAAGTTCTTCTAGATCAGTGGTTCTCAACCTCTGGGTTGGGACCCCATTTGGGGTCGAATGACCATTTCATGGGGGTCACCAAACCATGCTGTCTGCCATTTTTTTCCCTTTTCCCTAGCTGTCCTACTCCCTCTTATTGGTGGCCACACCCACTTGGGGGTCACCACAACATGGGGAACTGTATTATGGGATCACGGCATTAGAAAGGTTGAGAATCACTGTTCTAGATAAAAATTAGCAAATCATTTGGGTGATCATTTAAGGGACAAATAGTTTATACTGATGCAAAAGAGGAAATATGTTATGATAGCTTATAAATGGATTTCACTGAATTAAATTGAAGCATTTAATATTTTGGTGAGGGGAAGATGTTTATTTAGCTCTTTCCTATAAAACTTCGTAAAAGTTCCTTTTTGCCTAACTAACAAACTGAGTCTCGCTGTTCTTCTCTGTGATACACATGGATCTAAACTTAATAACTACCCAAGTTATTCTATTTATTTATTTATTCAACAAATTTATATATCAGCCCATTTCACAAATGTGACTCTGGGAGGACACAGAGCAAAAACAGTTAAAAACAAATATGAACTATTTAAAAACTATTACCGTATATGCCGGCGTATTAGGCGACCCGGCGTATAAGACGACCCCCGTCTTTATCGTCGAGTCGCCTTCCTAGAACGTCGTCTTATACGCCGGAAACTACCAGTATTTCCGGTGTATAAGACGACCCCCGTCTTTGATGCCGAGTTTAGCGCTTCCGGAAGTCGTCTTATACGCCGGCATATATGGTAATCATAAATAAAAAGAACACTGTGGAAGAATGGACAACATCCTAAACATAATGCAACCATCCAGCAGGCTTCCCCGGTTCCCATGGTATCCCCAAAGTTTTCTTTTTCTATATCTTTCTCCAAAATCCATCAACAATCCTATTCTAACCATCATATTATCTTAAAAAAATAGGGTCCCTCAAGGAATTGCAGAGCCATGAAATAAAAGAGTATAAAGTAATAAAATAAAAAACTTTCTATCTCAATTTCCTCTCTCCTATTTCCTGCTTGCCATATCCAATTTTCTATCATTCATTTTCTTCTTCTCCTTGGCAAGATGATAGCACCTCTTTCTTCAGTGCCAAGATTGAACATAAAGAAAAACTGGATTGGAAGGTGAGTTAAGAGGCAAGAAGGATTACTACACTCAAAAATTGAAGATAATCTGTAAGAGACTGGTCTCCAGTTTCCTAAGAAGAACCAGTTTGGTCTAGTGCTGTGGTGGCAAACCTATGCCACGCGTGCCACTAGTGGCATGTAGAACTCTCTCTGTGGGCACACGTGCCATCGCCCCAGTCCTAGGCCTGTAGCTGGGTTTTATAAAACCTTTTCGCTTTAGGCCTCCACCACCGTGTGCAAAAAAAAAAAAAAAGGTTCAATCAATCAATTTCAACTACTCGCGGGAAAAAAAATCTCGCAAAATTGGAATTGGTTGATTGAACTTTTTAATCCCACCCAGTCTGCCATTACCACTGCAGCCACACCCACCCAATTGACCACGCTCACCCAATTGGCCATACCCATCCAATGGGCCATGCCCACCCACGATACATAAGTGGGTTTTGAGTTGCAGTTTGGGCACTCAGTCTCTAAAAGGTTCGCCATCACTGATCTAGTGGTTAAGATGCTAGCTAGAAACCCAGGGACTGTGAGTTCTAGTTCTGCTTAGGTATGAAAACCTGGGTGATTTGGGGCACTTTCTCTCTCTCAGCGCAAACCACCTCACAGGGTTGTTGTTATGGGGAAAATAGGAGGAGGAAGGAGTACTGCATGTGTTCACTGCTCCAAGTTATTTTTAAAAATAATAAAGACAGGAAATCAACCAGCCAACAAACTTTCTACATCATTTAATACAATTATCAAGACAAGTGGGTAAGAAAGAAAACACAAATCCTTTCCGTTCTTTTTCTGAATCATAATATCTCTCTTATTGTCAAAACAAAAACCAATCTGTGATTGGTATCTGCAGTGCCCATTTGTATGACAGACCTAAGTACGTGCTACACCTAGCAGGGAGGAAAAGGTTATGTCCTTGTTTTTAATATTCAGTATAGATGTTCATTATGGTGGGGGAATCCTTTTTCAGATCATATTTTGTGGGATAGAAAGGAGCGTTGGCTTACCTGAACACCTTTTCTCAGCATGATGATGAAGAATCCACCAATGGGTTACCTGCCCAATCAGACTAAGTTGTCAAGTTGTCACGCCCCTCTTTGTCTGGGACCTCCCAGTTTCATTGACAGCGTAGCCAATGACAACAGTTTGACATGATGACTCTCAAGCAGGTATCCAGAAAAAAACAAGAACAGGCCCCCAACCCAGACCTAACTAACCACTAGATGGGAGGGCGTGGATTCTTCATCATCATGGTGACAAAAGGCGTTCAGGTAAGCCAACGCTCCTTCTCCAGCATGATGACTGAAGAATCCACCAATGGGACGTACTAAAGCTTCCCGAGTTCTATGGGTGGGGTTCAGTTGGGGCCGGTCCCCCTGATGGTGTGACTACTTGTTGTAAAATACATCCACCAAAAGCGGCCTCAGCCGACGCAAATTTGTCCAGAAAGTAATGTCTAATGAAGGGGGAAGGTGAAGACCATGTCGCTGCCCTGCAAATTTCTTTAATGGACGCCTAGGTTGCCCACGCCGCCACTGTGGCAGCACTGAGGGTTGAGTGAGCCGTCACATGAGAAGGAACGGGCAGGGCAAGTGATCTGTACGCACTTGCAATACAGGCCCTGATCCACCTACCTATGGTGGAAGCTGACACCTTTTGGCCCATTGAAGAAGGCTGAAAGGAAACAAACAGGGCTTCCGACTTAAGGAAAAGCACCGTGTGCTTGATATAACAGCATAAGGCTCTCCTTACGTCAAGAAAGTGCCATTGCCGTTCCAAGTCATGTGATGGGCGAGGACAGAAGTCCGGGAGAATGACCTCTTGTGCTCTATGGAATACTGTGTTTATTTTGAGAATAAATGAAGGGTCTAGCCGAAGAACCACCCTGTCCCCATGAAAGGTGCACAGGTCCTTTCTGATCGATAAGGCAGCCAATTCCGATATGCGCCTAGCCGAAGTAATTGCAATCAGGAAAGAGACCTTGAGTGATAGGTACCATAGGGAACATGTCCTAAGTGGTTCAAAGGGAGATGAAGTTAGTCCCTGAAGAACCCGGGGTAGGTCCCAAGAAGGATACCTATGAACCACTGGGGGTCTATTATTAGTGACTCTCTTGAGGAAGGACCGGATAGTAGGGTGTCTAGACAAGGATTTTGAGGAGTCCCATGACAGTACGGAGGAAAGAGCCGCTAGCTGTCTACGGATAGTGTTGGGCGCCAACCCCTTCTTGACGCCCTCCATTAAATATTCAAGTACCTTGGGAATGGTTACTTGTGACAGACTCACGTGATTCTTGTCGCACCAGCAACAGACGTTCCTCCACGTATGGTCGTAGATGCGGTTAGTCGCCGGTCTCCTGGCACCCTGGATCATATCGATCACCTCCGCCGAATATGATTCCTTGGTCAGGGTACAGCGTTCAAGTGCCAGGCAGTCAATTGAAGCCATTGGGGGGTCTGGATGCTGAAGATCCCCCTGCGTCAACCATACTCGGTTGTCTGGAATCCTCCACGGGGCTGAGGCTGAGAGATTCACCAGGTCTGCGAACCATGGTCTTCTGGACCAGTGAGGAGCAATAAAGATCACTTCCGCCTGCTCCTCCAGGATCTTCCTGATAACTGCTGGAAGCAGAGGCAGTGGGGGAAAAGTGTACAATAGGCCTTGCGGCCACTAGCTGCATAGGGCATTCGCCCTCTCTGCTCCCCAAGAGGGGACCCGAGAAATGAATCTGGGCAGCTGGGTGTTCCCCGGCGAGGCAAACAGGTCCACGATTGGATGACCGAATCTGTCCGAGATCTCCTCGAAGATGTCTGGGTGTAACATCCACT